AACCTGTAGGGGGACACCCCTTGCGATCTGTGATTTCGGGATCTATTTAACGCAAAAAACCTGTAGGGGGACACCTCTTGCGATTTATGATTTTGGAACTTGTTTTTTTCAACGAACCTTTGGAGGGGTGCCCTTTAATTTGCGATCTGGGTTTGTTGGATCTCAGTTTTTACAAATCTTGGGGCGACACGCCTTGTGATCTGTGATTCGGGGATCTGTGGGCTTTACAGAACCTCAAGGCAAAGGGCTTTTGTCTTGCCGACAAAGGGATAGATGGAGCTCCCTTGTTTCTCGTGAATTTGATGGGGCTTGTCTGCTGTGCTGAGGTGGAGCTCTCTCCCGTCTCATTACATGGGAGGAAGCTCTCAGTCATTTCTTGTGGAGGATGAGGTAGAAGACTTTTTTATTTGGAAGCTGGGGGAGCTCTGGCTTCTCTAGGAAAGGCTTTCTCTGCTAGAACGAAGCTCTCGTCTCTGACCAAGAATAACTTGGAATGACCGTTCTTCCTGTTTCACAGGGTGAGGTAGGGGGCTTGGGCTTCTCATTTTTTGAAAGCCGCGGGGAGGACCAGCTTTTCTGTTGTCAAGGTTTGAAGTTTGGAAAAGCTCCACCCTTGCTTCTTGATCGTAAGCTCTCTTCCATGTTGTTTCAAGAAAATGGAATGGTCAAGAGCTGTCGCTCCTGACGAAGAGAGAAAGAGGGTTTCTTCTTATCGCCCGAGAGGCAGCCGGAGGGCTCTTTTTTCTCGTGGTAATTTTTTATATTGCCACGAACAACCTGGGGGAACTCTCTTCTTGTTTTGGAGCATGAGGTCTTTTCTTCTGCAGGCTGGCGACTGAGAAGAGGTATAGGAAACCTCTCTAGAGAAATCTTCTCTTGCCAAGACTAATTTGGAATGACAAAGCTCTGTCCTCACTTCTTGAGAGCTACCGCTGTTCTATCCCTTGGAGAGGAAGTGGTGGCGACAAGGAGCCCTCTCTTGTTGTCGATTAAAACGCAGCCGGAGTTCTCTTATTTCTCGGGAAGTTCGAACCGGTTTCGTCTTGATTCAGAGGATGGGGTAGCCGGGTAGACGGCTGCTCATGTCTTGTTGAAGGCTGAGGGGAGGACCAGACTCTTCTTTTGAAGATTGAGAGAGCTCTGTCCTCACTTCTTTAGACCATCTCTCTTCTATCCGAAGAGGGGACGACAAGGAGCTCCTCTTTTTTATTTTCGACTAAGAGGCGGCAGGAGTACCTTCATTTCTCGTCAAGCTGGAAGGGTTCTCTGCTCCTTTGAGATTCTGCGGTAGAGCGCCTGCCAGGGATCTCTTTTCTACCCATATAGGGAAATGAAGCTCAAAATCTTGTCGATGACTAGGTAAAGGAGCTCTCTTGTCTCTCGGCCGTCTTCTTGAAACTGGAGGAGCTTTGAGCCTTGTCTTCTTCGACCAGAAGCGAGCTCCCTTCAATTTTCTTCAGAGGAGATAGAGATTTACCAAGAGGTAGAGGAGCTCTCTGCTAGAAATCAGCTGAATGGCTTGGAGGGACTCTCTCCGTGTTTTCGTTGGTGATTGGGGGAATCTCCACCCTTTCTTCTTGAGCGTATGCCCACCCCATCTTTTGAAAAGGCAAAAGAAATTTTCAGGATCTCTTTCCCATTGTCAAGAGAGAAAGGAGGTTTCTTCTTCTTGTGCGTATGCTCTTTTCCATCCGTTGAAAAGGTAACGGAAACACTCAGGATCCAACCCCTTGATCAAAAGAGAAAGGAGTTCTCTCCTGCCGACCAATGGGTAAACGGAGACCTTTGAATTTTCGTGAAGTTGGAGGCGCGTGTCTGCTGTGCTGAGATGGACCTCTCTTGCGTCTCATTACATGGGAGGAAGCTCTGTCATTTCTTGTGGAGGATGAAGTAGAAGACTTTTCTTCTTTCTAGACGCCTTGGGAGCTCTGTCCCTTTCTTGCTATCTCTTCTCTCTTCTTCAGACTAAAAGGCGACCTACCAAGAGTTAACGGAGCTCTCTGCTAGAAGGATGCTCTCTTCTGTTGCCACGAATAACCTGGGGACTCTCTTCTTGGCTTGGAGCATGAAGTCTTTTCCTTTTGAAGGCTGAGGGACGACTAGATGTCTCTTGTTGACATTCGGGGTTGAGCGTATGCTTTCTTCCATCTTCAAAAAAATAATGGCAATAAGAGGACTTTTCTTGTTGGAAGCAAATTCAGAAGATGAGGTAGAGGGCTGCTCATGTCGTGTTGAAGGCTGAGGGGAGGATCAGGCCCTTTTTTGAAGATTGAAAGAGCTCTGTAATCACTTTTTGAAATCTATCCTTTTTCTATCCCTTGAGGAGGAAAAGGGGACGACAAGGAGCTCCTCTTTCTTATTGTCGACCAAGACGCAGCCGGAGTTCTTTCATTTGTCGTGAGGTTGGAAGGGTTCTCTGCTCCTTTGAGATGCTGCGGTAGAGGACTTGCCAGGGGATCTCCGCCTTACACATGTAGGGAAAAGAAGCTCATTTCTTGCCGATGACGAATAAGCGAACTCCCCTCATTTCTCTTCACAGGGTATGGAGACTTACCAAGAGGTAGAGGAGCTCTCTGCTAGAAATCAGCTGAATGACTTGGAGGGACTTGCTCCGTGTTTTCGTTGAGGGTTGGGGGAATCCCCAGCCTTTCTTCCTGAGCGTATTCCGTTGGCCACCTTTTGAATTTGTAAAAGAAATTTTCAGGATCTCGGTCCTTTGCCAAGAGAGGAAGGAGGTTTCTTCTTCTTGTGCGTATGCTCTTTTCCATCGACGGGCGTAACGGAAATACTCAGGATCCAATCCCTTGATCAAAAGAGAAAGGAATTCTCTCCTGCCGACCGACGGGCAAACGGAGACCTTTGCGTTCTCGTAAAGTTGGAGGGGCCTGTTGGGTTGCTGCTTGCCGCTTTCTTCGTGAGAGCTCATTTAACCGAGGTCTCGTTCCGAGACAAGAAACGAAGCTGTATTTGCCTTGTTGGGTACTTGTTGCCGCTTGGTTCGCGATTGCTCATTTATGCGGAGTCTTGTTCCGAGACAAAAAGAGAAGCGGTATTGTGTTGTTGTATACTTATGCGTGATTGCTGACTTGGCATTGCGCTGTCAGTTACTTGTTTGTGTTAACTTGCTGTCCGACTCAGGTCTTGTGACACAAACCTGACATTAACAGAATGTTGCTCCAATACGTACTCTAGCTCGCTGGTATCAGCTAGCCGGCCTTCGTGGGAGAATATATGACTACAACAAAACCCGAAGGCCAGCTTCCAAAAAGACCCTATTTGATCCATCCTGGGGGGCGGGTGTGGCAGCCCTGCATCATTCATACGCCTGGCCACCGAGTTCTCTCAATAAAGCTGGAGCCTCACGACTGGCTCTATGACAGATTTCCAACCGATGTACACACTTGATCTGACCCTCGAATGACCGAAATCAGGCATGGGTTGGTACGCATGCTTAGAACCGTTGCCTACCAGCTTCCCTGCATTCATTCGACTTGCCAGATTGTTGGCTCAGCCTGGTTGCCATCGGAATCGCAGGTACACCTTGAGACGTCTCTCAAGGCTTCCCCTCCAGTTGCTTACCTTCGTTGGACCAGGTTCGCAACTGGAGGCCTGGGACCCCTGCTTCTTTTGCATTCTGCCTGCAAGATCCCTTGGCTTCAGGGTGCGACACACACACGCAATCAAGACATGTCAAAACAACAACTAAAGGCAAATGTTCATGTGAGACACCAAGCGGAAAAGCATCTACACCGTCTACACCCAAAGACGAAACACGTGGTCTTGGCGGCAGGTCAGCTACCTGGCCACAACAAACTCTTCAGTTCAAGCATTGTGCGCCTGATCCTATCTTCATTAGCAATCAAATTTACACCGCCGGCAGCAACTCCTTAATTATGCACAGGGCACGAAATTCAAAGGCTTGTATCAACGGCCCTTATACAAGACGGGAGCATTTTCATGCTTTGCGAGACGACTCTCTCGTCTCATCATCATCTCATCTTAAGTTCTACTCGAAATCCGTCCTGAAGTCTGCTCTGCCAGCGCCGCGCGGAAGCTGACGACCTACGCTCACGAGTTCACGCACGAAGTGCAGGGGCCGGGACTTTAGCCCGTTAGGCCCACGGGCTGCCGGGCTGCCTCGTCGTTGAGCCGGACCACCTTCAGCCTTCTCTCCTGACGACACTAGTCCCTGGCCCTGCCCAAAGCAAAGGAAATTCTGTGCTTTTACACTCCTCCAGCAAGTCTGCAGGTTCGCCAGCGATGCGCCGCAGCGCTTTCTCCACGAACTTGGAGGTCTTGCGGCCCTCCTGGCATTGCAGAAGTTGTCCTGGCCCTTGGGATGCATCGCAGACGGTCTGGGGCCTTGCCAAACTGCTGGTCGATCTCTCGGACAACAAAGAGGCCGCCCACGGCCGCCAACAGGAACTTGAAGACCGCGAAGACCCCGTAGAGCAGCAAGGCCCCAAAGCCCAGCAAGAAGAGGGAAGGTGTCGACTCGGTGCTCTCACCGTCCTGGCCCGTCGCCTTCTTGATCAGCTGTGCCAGCATGTCCTCCGGCGACTGCGCATCATCTGCGAAGGCGGGGCCCGGCGGGAGAAGTCCCGCCGCGCTCGCCGCGCTCGACAGAGACCAGAGCCGTGCCTGCAGAGACCTCTGCCTCTGACTCGCCTCTGCCTCCGCAGGGCGAGCGCTACGCTAAGAAAGAGAGAGAAAGGGAGACAGAGGCAGGCCGGGCCTGAGCCGAAGGGGCCAGGAAGGCAGAGCCGCTGCCGCCGCTGCCGCCGCTGCCCGCAGAGCTCTGGCCGTTCCCTTCTCCAGCCGGCAAAAGCAGAGCTGTGCAGAGAGCTGCCGCCAGTGCCAGGCGCAGAGCCGGAGCGCGAAGCCTCCGCCAGCGAAATCTCCCTCCCGCTTGAGCCATAACGACCTGCAGAAACGACGACCTGCGGCCCGCTTTCATTCTCTTTGGTGACAGAGAGCTTTCGGATTTCGGGCCAGGCGGCGAGTAGTTCTGCGGTCCCGGGCAGCGGTCCAGGAGTCCTCATACGACGCTCTGAGGCTGCTGGGCTTCTGGGCGGCTTCCTGCCGTCCTGGGCTTGTGGATCTGAAGCGCTTCGCCGTCCCCATGACACCTCACTTGAAACAGTTGCGCTTGGCAGCTGCCAGGCTCCGCAACAAGGACGCCTCCTTTGATCTCCCTTCTCATCTCCCGATAGAGCTGGGAACCACCCCCAGGCCCATACCTCCATGAAGGCATGAGCGGTCACAAGCAGCAGGACCCTTTCCCTTTCGTGCAAGAGGGGGGGAGCATTGCATCGGATCTCCCCTGAATGAACCGGAAGGTGTCTCCTGAAAGGATTTCAACGGCCCAAGGTCCCCTGCTCCACTGCGCCCACGCTCCGCAGCGGTCTGCGGCCCGGCTGAGGCGGCGACTCGGAGCCTGCGTGAAGCTCACTCGCCTGACAGCCATGCCGCCGACTGTGATAAACGGACAATGCGCGTCTGCAGACCACTAAACCGTTAAACTGGCGCAAGCGGCATAATCGGCACATGCAAGACAAATTAGACGGACGAGTCCGGCACGTCAGGGACCCGGGGTCTGCCACGTTTCTGACTGCTCTAAGCCACATCTTCCGAGATCTTCTTTGCACAGGCACGCCTCATTCTCAGCTGTGCTTGTTAGGAGGGCATACAGTATGGGGCGTCAACCCAAACAGCCATGTGGACCTCATACTTGTAGGCTCCAAGCAACGGTCAATCCCATACGCAAACGCCCAGAATCGAAGACGGTCATCACAATGTTCTACCGCGATGAAACCAATGGTTGCGGCAACAAGCTGATAGAATCCTCAGGACAGTATATGCCAACGCATCATTGCAGTGGACCAACCTCATGTTTAACCTACACGCATGCACTTTGGGCATTGTTCTGGATTGTCTTGGATTCTTGATTCGATTCGTAATGCAGTGTACCTACTTCCCACACCTTCTGGCTAACGCTTCCAATCTTTTCCTTTCCTTGTTCATGCACAGGTGGGTATACTAGCATAATTACTAATGTATTTAAAGATTGCGAACACCGGAACGACTGATTGCCACTTCAGAAAACCGTCTTGCACCACCCCAACTTGCAGACTTGCGCCACATGCCTCTGGCCAATGCCCGGGGTGTGACCTAAGTTCGAAGAAGCGAACACAGATGGTTTCGGTTGCGATGTGGACGTCACAAGCATTCTCATGCTCAGGCTGTATGGCACTTATGGCGACTCTGCAAGCGGGTTTGCCGCAGCCCCACGGCACAAACATTTTCGCAAAATCATGGAGGAAATTGTCCGTGTGTCTGAATGGACCGTTGCTGGTGCGTTGGTGTCAGAATGCGGCGTCACCTGAATGAACTTCGAACTTCGAGCCGGCGCGCTGGAGCTCACTGGTCGGTCGCACACTGCATGCGTTCTGGCATCGACAGGACGGCATGGTGCACCACCGCCTGCGTCATAAACATCAAGCCTTGTGGCCGCCCTGCCCTTCAGACCCACCTTTTGCGTGCGTGCCCAACAAGGGCGCCCTGCGGCGAGATACTCGGAATCATAACAGGTGCCTTCCTAGGACTGGGACTGTGCACCAGCAATTAAATTTGACTACCAGGCTTCGTACACGCTGTCAACAGAGCACATTTCCACACCCGTGACTTTTTGGTGTGGAAGCCTGTCGCGCATGGAATCCGTCTAAACGTGGATTAATCCATTCCGCAGGGGCCGCAGTCTTCCTTCCCTGGGGCAGCTTTGCTCTTTTATTGATTACAGAATCAGTTGGTTGCTCGATGTTCAGGTAATTTGTGGTGAAACACTTTACCAACTGGTGTAGGCTTCCGCTTGCAACGTAGACTTGTCAATTGTTCTGATTTTGTTTGAAGCAAAACTGATGAGGTGCACGTGACCTTCATCTGATGACATTAAGCTAGGCGTGCCCAAGCAATTATGCTTTGCGCCTGGCTTCGATGAAGCTCCAAAAATCTTCGTTGTCTACCGTCATCATTTCATGCTCACTAGCGTGACTTGCACCTGTGATAACACATGAACTAAAATAGTCCGAATCTAGAACTCCAGATCTGTACACTCACTCTCTGCGTCGCTTCACGGAGGTCAGCAACTTTGCCCCCATTGCTGGCGGATTGCATTCGGCTCACCCGATATGCAAGGTCGAGCCTGCGTTGTCGCGAGACCCAGCTGAGTCTTGTTTTTCTCAGAAGAATGTTCCCCAGCTGTGCGGCTAGGTGCAGTGATGCGCTTCACGATTGACTGCTGCCACCATCCCTGGATCGAACTCGCATTCAGCCAGCAGCCAGCGCGTGCCTTGGATCCCCACGCACTACGCAAAAAGTAGGTGTGCGATTGTTGATTTTAAAGATGCCGCCGACGAGGTTCTCGAGGGAATTAACAGCTCGCTCCCGTGCCGCCACATGAAGCTCATGGATGCTTTCTTTTTCAGGTTGACCACCATCTTCCGTTGCCACATCAGGCATATGAGGCGCGGTAACGACTTCTTCCTTAACAGCTTCCCCAGTTTCACCTGTGGTTGCATCTGTACCCCCCCGAACCGGGTTGGTACACATCGCTATCCAAGATTGCTTGATATTCAATGGAAAGGCCCTGGGTCATGGAACTGATGAAGTGGACAATATCCTCATCCCGTTTGGGCGGCGATCTTTTCCGTGGTGCGTCCGCCGTGATCAGTTCGATGGCCTCTGCTGAAGCATATCGCCAAAACGATCTTTCGAGGCCCTGCGCACAAGCGTTGGCACCCTCCAGACCACCCCAATTGGGAAAGTGAGACGGTTATGTCTTCACGAGGAGATGACACACCGTTGTAGTGTTCCCACCTTTCAACAACACTTTCATGAACCCAGCATAAGCAGAATTCCTAGCGTCAGAGTTCGGTCCACTGTCCTGTTCCGGTGTCGTTCCTTGGTTGGGTGTCCGAAGGCCTTCCGGTTCCAGACTGCTCGCCCAAGCGTCGCAATCCTTCCCGCATCGTAAACCCAAGTAGGATGCCCGTGAAGTTTGGGAGGAAAGAGACCATCACCATCAAGCAGCGGATTTGGAGCATCCATTCTCTTGAGCTCCTCTTCCCAATCCGCCGTCTTCTTCTTCACGCAGTCACGCGTATACCCTGACTCCGCAGCTAACTGATTCCACGCATGCTTCGCGAAGAATTTGGGAAGTTGAAACCCTCCATCCGGCTGCAGCCTCGTGAGGCTGCCGCGAACTCCCTTGAGAAACTGTTGGGACTCTCCATGTACATTCTGAAGATTGCCCGTTCGTTCAGGTGCTGTAGCTTGTTCTCCATGGGGTAGATTGAGCGAATTCGCTTGGGGTACTGTTGGTTCTCCAGGTACATTCTGAAAATCACCCCGTAGCCTTCCTTGAACACTTCGGGTTCGCCACTCTCTTCCCTTTCCGGACGGAGCGACTCCACTTCCCTCAAAAGCTCATTCATCTGAGATTGATACCTTGTCGTGCACTCCTCCAGCCTCCAGCTGCCTCTGCACCTCGGCTTGCAAGCTGGGCGATCTATCGGTGTCTTCTGAAACCGGAGGGTGCCCGTGCAAAATGCGGATGGTCGAGTTGAGCTTGCCGAAGTTGAGTCCATGCAAGGGAAGTTCTTCAGGAGGAGAAAACCAGATTGGCGAAGTCATACGCCTCGACGATGAACATCTTGTGGAGCTCCATGAGGATTCGTGAGCCCCAGATTGTCTAAGACACGATCCCTACTATGGGCCCTTTGGAGTAGCCGTTTTTCGAAGAAGCCCCGTCCACCTTGCCATCCATCAAATTCGACCCGGATCAATCCCCGGCATCCGAGCTTTCCGCTGAGTAGAACTCCGGCACTCGCACCGCACTTGTAGGGGTAGGCGTCCCTGCTCCCTTTTTCACAGGCGTACTTACCGTCTGCTCAAGGTGTTCTCGTGTTCCAACGTTCGTGCCTGGTTCCGGATGAGCAGTCTCGTAGGGAGGATCTACTTTTTTCAGGAAAGTGTCTGGGCTTACCACAGTAAGTCGCCGCGAAACTCCAGTGTACTGGTCCTGAACATTGGGAAATCCAATTGTCACATCTCCGCCAATATATGCAGTCGAAGTCATCCTTTCCGCCATTTAAGGCACAACTGTCTGAGATCGAGCATCACTTCCTCTCGCACTTGACGATCCGCCGTCTTCCGCGCCGGTAGACATTTGGGCGCTCATAACTCATGACATATAAAGGAATACTTCACGTTGGCTTTCGGGTCAGATCGAGGGCTTATGCAGTCGATGCGCCTCCCATGAATCCCTCAGCAAAGCTACGAATTGCTGTTTACTGGAAGCAAATGCAATGCCGTGGCTTTGGCCGATTATGGCTCTGTGCCTCTGCTGAAACAAACTTCAGACCGATTCTGATCGATTTAAGATGGTGAAGCAGAACACACAATGCAAATACATATACATATACAAGCGCTCGGCTCGGGAGGTATCTTAAACGAAGGAGCTACTGCATTTGCTCGGAATAACGGATATGCACGTGCACCTTAGATCACCCAAATCTTACACTGCCCTGGTTCAACTTACTCGTTCTTGGTGGAGAAATAATGGATATCAACCTGCATCGAAGAAGCAAACTACACGTGCACCTCAGATGATGCACCGCCCTCGATGCTCGTCCGCCTTCCCTCTGTGAGTTTCTGCTGTGGCGATGCGCAGGGCGTACTCGATTGTTCTGATGCTTGTTGGTTTATAGTCACTCTGGGTTTAGAGGTGGCATTGTTGGAGGTGGGGGAAAGGCTGGTATCCAGGGCTCAGGCAGATCCTCAACGGGGGCGAGGCTCCAGCCTTGCGACACTGCGGCGCGGCGATCGCGGCGGCGGATGGCGGCGAGCTCGAGTTTCCCTCCCGCCGGCGCCGGCACCTTCCTTGCGTCCGGAGGATCGCTGCTTTTGCCCGCCGTGCGGAAGACCACCCGTGGAGATCGCGGCCTGCGGCGGGACGGCGGCAAACGCAACGGCCCGGCAACGGCCCGGCAACGGTTCTCGCCTCAGCGGCAGGTCACCCTCGGCGCTGTGGAAGCAGACGCCCCTACCAGCCTTAGCCACGTGAGGCGGCGCGGCAGGGCATTGAAGGCTGCGCGGACTGCGGGGACCACACCGAGCTCCACGCCACGGCTTCTGCAAGTTTGGCACTGCCAAGAAGAAAAGAGAGAGAACAGAACTGTTGGGAGATTCGACGGGGAGCTCCCAGTCTCCCAGCCCCTCCGGACCCCGGCCTTTGCAGTCCCAGAAAAGCTGGCGGCTTGCCGATGATGGCCTGCGGGGACCGCGGCAACGGCCGCGCTTCCGCTTGGCCCTGCGAGCCCGAGCCTAGCAAGGCGAAGGCAGGGAAGCGCAGTCGGAAGCGCAGTCTGTTCTGTTTGCAACGCCGTGTTTCGAGGCCCGAGCCGCCCACGTTGTAGGAGACGGGACTCAGCGGTTTATGGCGGGCGCTTCTTGCGTTTTAAGAGCTGATCCCAACGAGGCTCGGGCCCGGGAGCCACCTGAGACGGATGCGACAAAACGCGCCTCTGAGCCTCTGACTGAGCGGAGCTGAGCTGCTGAGCTCCTGGCCTCGGAAGCCGTCGTCGGCCGCGCTGCCTTACCTGGCGCATTCCGGCGATGTGGTGCCGCTCGCATCCGGAATCCAGGCGATCCAGGCGAAGCCATGAACCGAATGCGGCCAAACTACAGAGCAGCACTCGAGGCTGTAGAAGATTCCTGAAATGGAATCGGCACCACGCAGTGGCACGGAGGCGTAGAGGGAGGGCCAGAGCAATGCAGGGAAGTGTAAGCGCTGCAGCCCAAGCGTCTTGCTGAGGCCTAGCTCAGCCTTCTGAACCTGTCTGCAACTTCGAGGGCACAAGTGCATCGCGGACGCTCCGCAATGCTCCGCCTCGTAGTCGGAAGGCCCGGGGGAGGGCGAAGCCAGGTAGACCTGCGGGGAGCGTCCCCAGTGGAGCGGTGTGAGGCGTCACGTCTTTTTGCGCAGCCCGTCGCCGGATCGCCTCGGCGGAGGGAGTGGCGGCGGCCTGCGCCTGAGGGAAGCTCCCGCGCCTCAGAGCGCGCTGCACTGCTAGCTGCTACATGCTGCTACATGCTGCTACATTGCTGCCGCTACATGCGGCGCCGCACCGCCGCAGCGGCCTACCGCCTTTGGCGCCGGGTTTCCCGGCAGGGACAAGGAGGGCGAGTCCAGGCCGACGAGCGAGGAGAGCCCGAGCGTCTCTGCGCCGCTTGCAATGAAGCCTATCGAGCAGAAGACGACCACTTTCATGTCCATCATGCTGCCGCTCTCACCGTCCCCCCGGCCTGAGTAGCTGCTGCAGTAGGGCGCACCTCCCGTCGCCGCCACCATGGCTCAAGGAAGGCGGCAGTGGGCTCCCAGCAGTGCAGTGCAGTGGTGAAGCACACTCCTATTACAGGGACCTCTTCCCTCTTGTGTGGGCTGAGGCATGATGACGCATGCGCTACGACCCTCGGTGTTTCCAACTCATGCTATACAGAATTTCTGAGTGCTGCGAATTGGGGCAACACAAACCAACGAGTTCCTTGTCCATCAGCACGATAGGCCACGCATGGCCAGAGTCAAGAGTGGGCCAATGTGCACTTTGCTAATCTGACTCACTGTCTCGAAACTCCTCGCCGATCCTCGCCGCGAGGCAGAGAGACATCTGGCGACTATATGCGCTGATGATGAAACTGACGGGACACGGCACTCTGCCGAGGCAGTCTGCTTGGCAGATGGCCTGCTAGGGTAACGATTGCGCCACTTACATCCAGTTGGGCGAGTCCGCTTCAAGTGATAAGCAGTGTTCTGCACATCTGAATTCATTGCAAGCCTATATACTAACTGAATGCAGTTGTAGCACCACAGAGAAGTCTTTCTTGCGAGTTCGCCGGAATCCCGAAACCCAGGTTGAAGTCTGTGCCTCTTGACGCTTTGCTCAGGGTTTCGGAAACAAACACAGGAATTCCGGAAGGCTGCAGTGAAAGAAGAGACCACACATGCCGAGGAAAGTATCCTTCTTGGCTATATTATGAGCAGAGCTTTGCTCAAAGCGATGCTCTCTGCGATGCTTTGTAAAGGTTGCCTGGCTCTTACTGCGGTTGCACATCTTCAAGGTCCGGGCTAAGTGTCCGGGTCGCTTAGGAGATGCTTCGGCGGCCAAGAACACTTGCACACCCAGATACTGGAAGCTATAAGGACAGTTATGGACTTCTCCAACTTTGCTCTGCCAATCAGTTGCAGCCAATTTTTGTGGTTCGAGCGAGGTCGACGAGCCTTCCGGAAGCCTTTCGCAAGCCGCTTCCCACGTGAAGTGAGAAAAGCTGGAGAAGCGGCGCTGCCAAAGCGAAAGCAGAAGCAGCAGAAGCAGCAGCTGCCCCCCCGCCCCCCCCCCCCCCCTAGCTTTTTTTTTGAAAGCGATCTCTGCGAGAGAGCGGAAGAAGCGCCGCAAAGCCGCTCAGATCGCAGCCGCAGCGCTCCTCAGCTCTTCCGCAGCAGCGCCGTCTCAGGTCGCCTCGTCCTCGTCGTACTGCGACTCTCCCGGCGCAAGCAATCGGTATGCTTGGATGTCGTAGGCCGTGCCCATCTGCAGCTGCTCCTGCATGCGGCGTGCATCTGCGTGCGCATCGCGCGCGACTCGCATCGCGCGACTCGCGCGCGCGCGACTCGCTCCTGCTTGTACCGTCGCTCCACCTGCCACGAGAGAGGCTGCGACAAAAGGAGAGCGGATGCGAGGAGAGAGAGCCCTGAGACGCCGCGCTCCGCCGGGCCCCGCGGGGCCTCGGGGTGGTAGCGGAGGGCCTCGAGGAAGATCTCCTCGCGGAGGGCCTCCACAGGAAGCGGAGCTAAGCGGATAGCACAGCTGAGCTCCAGCGCTTAGCACAGCGAGAGGAGCTCCCCGTCCCCCGGCTCCCCCCCTTTCCCCCCCGCCGCGAGGTCGATCTTCCGGCGCTCGAACTCGAAGTCGCTCAAGTCCAGCGCGGCACTCGAGGGCTCGTCCTGACAGTGCCCGGCGCACTCTTGCAAACTAGTCAACTAGTCTTCTCTCCGCAGCCAAAGACCAGAGCGTAGTCTTCTCTCTCGCTTTCGCTCTCTGGCGTCGTTGCTGGGTCCTCCGGGCAGTGCAGCTGCTCCAAGTACTGCAGTGCCAGCGCCTGTTCCACGGTCACTCGGTGATCGGGATTGAACTGAAGCCTCAGCTGTCAGGCGTCAGCTCAAAGAGAGAGTCCGTGAACGAAGAAGTCGCACAGCACCCAGAGTTTCTACCGCAGAAAGAGCGTCGTGGAGTCCAAGAGCTCGAGCACCAGGGGAGGCACCGTTCCTGCCGCTGTGCCGCTGCGCAACCCGCCACTGCGCTCTTTGCTGCCAGTTAATGCAAGTTACTGCTAGTTGCTAGTTATTAGCTGTTTGCTAGCTTGCCAGCTGGCCAGCTTGCTAGCTGCTCTTCGCTGCTCTCAGCATCTCGTCGCCTACGGCCTCGTAGAGGGCCGCGCGGCCCTGGGTGCGTGGCAGGGACCTCGGCAAGGCAGCGCCCATTACAGCTAGAGGCAGCTAGAGTCTCGAGAGTCTAGAGTCTAAAGGCTGGCGGCGATCTCTTGGTGCCAGGTCGCTCGATGAATTTCCGGCACTTCTCGTTCTTGATCCTGGCCGAGCTGCCGGCCGAGCTGCGGCCGGGTCTCTCTCCCACTCCCTGCTCTGCTGCTCTGCTGCTCTGCTCTCAGGCCTGTTCAAGGCAGAGGCGTCGGGCGAGCCCAGGTTCTGGATGATCAGCTGCAGCTGGTGCTGCGTGTTCTTCCCAGGAAGCAGAGGCCGACGCCTCTGACAGGAGACGAGGCATGAGTTGGATGGTCCATGTGATAAGAGTCTACTGCAACATCAACTGGAAGGGAGACATCGGATCGATCGCTGCAAGTCGCTCGGAGCCTGAGCATCTCGGCGAAAATGCATCCCAGGGACCACATGTCGATGGCCTAAGCAGAACTCAGAAGGAACAAAGCGCTCGGCCCGCTCCGCCGGGCCCCTTTTCTGAGGCTTCGGACAGGTCCGTAGTCTGCCCAAGAGCAGAGAACTTCCGGTGCCCGGTACCACCGAGTGCAAACGTACCTAGCAGCTCGAGGCAGCTTAGCATGTATCCACAGGTCACCCCTGTGCGGGGCCAAAGTCCCGGGCTCCGTAAGCGGCCGGAAGTCGCCGTTGCTCATCGCAAGGCGCGCCAGCCTAGGAGATGCCCCCACCCCCCCCCGCCCGGCATGAGATGACATGCGGAGAAGAGATCTCATGGGCTCTGCTGGCAAGTTGGGAGGCGTGGGGACGTGTTTTGGCCCTTGGTGTTTAGACCTGCTGTGAGTTGCTTGCTTAACTGTCAATGCTGCTCGGCTACCCTGCACTACAAGTACGAAGATCTCTCCGAGGGGAGCACCCGTAGTCGCAGATCTTCAGGTCACAGTTGCTGTTGACCAACAAGTTCCGCGGCTTTAGGTCTGCGGCAGATGCTCTCAGGGGAAGCAGCCTCCGCTAGAGGATTATGCCTTGCTCCGCCTTGCCTCGATGTATCACACCGGCCGAGTGCATGAACTTCAGCCCACGAAGGATCTGAGAGGAGGGGGAGTTCACGCAGAGAAAGAGAAGAGGGCGCTGGGCGCTCTCTGCGCTTTCTGCCTGGTAGATGAAAAACTGGCAGTGCTCATCGGAGAGCGGCTGGGGACTCTTCAGAATCGAGGCCAAGTCTGTCTCCATGAGCTCTGAAACGACGTAGATGTCCTCACAGCAATGCTTAGCAGCTTAGCAGCCGCTAGCACATGGCCTATCTCGGATCCTAGCCTCGAAGCTCGACTTCAAGCCAGGCAAGAAGACATACCTGGACGTCTAAGTGAGAAGCTCAATTCTGCCGGCCTCTCTTCGATTCACTCGACTCGTCCTGCCTAATATCTATGAGGTTCTCGTGGCGCAGGTGCCGCAGAATCTTAAGCTCCCGCAGGGTCCGCTTCGCGAAAGTGATGTCATCGAAAGCACTCCTAGTGCAAAGTGAGGCACGCGAAATCCACAGGTTTTGCTGACTCGGCTTCCGGGCTCGATCTTCTTGATCGCGACTGTGTCTCCCGTGTGCTCATCCTATGGCAGCGCTCTGTCCCCTCTGTAGCCACTAACAGAAGTAGCAGCACTGCAGCACTGTCCCTAGCAGAGCAGACCACGCCATAGGCACCCTGGCCCACAGCCTCCAGGACCTCCAGGACGGACACTCAAAGGCACCTCCCTGAAACAGAGAAAACGATTCCAAGGGAGGCGCCGTGAAGCGCCTTGGGGCCTGCCAAAGAAGAATAAAACAAAGGCATATATTCTTAGGATGACGGCGCGCTTGTGGCGCTTTGCGGCGCGGTACCTGGAAGTTGGAACCGAGCACGGGCGTGCTCTGCAGCTCCAACTCCAAGGAGTCGATCGGCATCTGCAGTTTCTGAGCTCTGGCTCTGGCTGTTTTTTGGCTCATGAATTCTGCCTTCCTGTAACCCTGTCCCATGCCTCCACTCCAAAAGAGTCAAACACGTCAAAGCGCTGCGACAGTCACACCGCCGCGCCGCACCGGCGCCCGCCAAAGGCTCAATCCTATGCGAGCGCCGCCGGACACTGAGTGCAGCGGCTTTGGCTTCGGCGTTCGATGCGACGCTTCGCGGTGCTGACGGCTTTGACGGTGCGGCCGACCGTGGCCGGAATCCATTGCCCAAAGCTGAAGCCAAAAAACCGAGCAGTGATGGCACTGACATGTCCAGACTCAAGCTTGTCATGTCGCGTGATCCCCACCCTCCTCACTGAATCTCGTGGCGTGGCCGAATCTTTTTTCATGGACAGCAGCATGCAGCCGGAATCCATGTGGACTTGTAGAACTTTTACCTTGCGGCTTCAAGACCAGACAAATACACTGTGGTAAAAACAGACAAACATACAGACCACGCTGTAAACTTCGATGTGCACAACGTCAACACAGATCATGCAATAAATCCTCGTCTTTTGTCCGCATGAGCGTTAGCTCACATTTCGTTCGAGCGATATTTAACCCAAGTTGCAAATCATCCCTTACTAACAGTTTCACAGATACGTACAGCAAATGCATTATTGGCAGGTTATTGAACAAGTTATGGAGGTTTTGTATATTAGATGTATGCGTTAGCCCCGATACTTGAATGTTCTGGGTGTTGCTTACCATGTATAACTAGTTAAGTTAATTAAGCATGTAAATTAGAAAAAATCGAAGATGTTGCTAACGAGCTAGCCGATGCTGAAAAGTATACAACGCAGCTTTAAAAGCTTTTTTGTAAAGAAGAAAACCGGAAGCGGAAGAGCGAACAAAACACATTGGGAAATGTCAATATTAGGATGTAGACTGTCGGAATTTGTCTAGAAAAGCTCGAGGAATCGAAGTGTTGAGCACGCATGATTTCATGTCTTGCCTGGCATGCATGTAAAGGGATAGCCTGGAGGTATCGAGATTGGCAAGATTGCAATTGCATGGCATGCATGTATATGAGTGCATGCATGCATGATCTCCTGTCTTGCATGTGCTTGCATAAACAAGGATTGCTTGCAACTTCTACGGGTTGCATGCATGGCATGCATGCATTTGCATGGTGTCTATGATGGCATGCATGCGTGCATGAGCTGTTTGTTGTTCTTTTGTGCATGCCTGCAACTTGCAAGATTGCTTGCACAGCGGCATTGCATGCAGCACGGCAACTGTGACTTCTTCCGTTGCCTCTCTCCTTTCTTCTTCTTTTGTTTTTCCCCCTAGACTCTCTACCGCTTTCACTGGCTGGAGCTGATGGCTGGACTTTGTCAAGCGACACTTGTCTCCTTCGTTCCAGCAACCGTGCTTGAAAAACCTGCACTCAACATTCGCACGACCAGGTGAAGGGCTATTCCGGCGGGTGATCGTCCACGACCTACTCCTTTTCCAGCACTAGGCGTCCTACCGCATGATGTACGGTGCTTCCTGCCCGCAATACTTGCTGGGAAGCAGTTTGAATAAGTAGCCAATCGATAGAGCGGTGCGGTACCCGTTGACGTCTGACTATGCACGGGTTGAGCCTGACCTTGAATACATTACTCACTGCTCAGGAATTTGCGTGGACTCGTTGTAATGCTGTGTGCCTACGAAGTGTTTGGGGCTGTTAGAATGTCCCCCTCTCTGTCTCATATGACGTACATGTGTCTGGAAAATATACATGCTACATACATACATACATACATACATACATACATACATACATGTCACTAGCACAGGGTAAATTTTGCAATCGGCGTGCGCGCAATTAAGTCGAGATTGCTTTGAACCGTGGGCAATGTGTCACACACAAGCAGCCAAACAGCAAGAGAGAGAGCGAGCGAGAGAGAGAGAGAGAGAGAGAGCGAGAGAGAGAGAAGAGAGAAGAGAGAAGAGAGAAGAGAGAAGAGAGAAGAGAGAAGAGAGAGAGAGGGAGAGAGAGAGAGAGACAAGACAAAGAGAGACAAAGAGAGCGAGCGAGAGAGAGAGAGAGAGAGAGAGCGAGAGAGAGAGAAGAGAGAAGAGAGAAGAGAGAAGAGAGAAGAGAGGAGAGAGAGAGAGAGAGAGACAAGACAAAGAGAGACAAAGAGAGCGAGCGAGAGAGAGAGAGAGAGAGAGAGCGAGAGAGAGAGAAGAGAGAAGAGAGAAGAGAGAAGAGAGAAGAGAGAAGAGAGAAGAGAGAAGAGAGAAGAGAGAAGAGAGAGAGAGGGAGAGAGAGAGAGAGAGACAAGACAAAGAGAGACAAAGAGAGCGAGCGAGAGAGAGAGAGAGAGAGAGAGAGAGAGAGAGAGAGAGGGAGAGGAGAGAGCGAGAGAGCGAGAGAGCGAGAGAGAGAAAGAGAGAGAGCGAGAGAGCGAGAGAGCGAGAGAGCGAGCGAGAGACAGAGGGACAGCGACAAAGACGCAGCCAGAGAGAGCGAGAGCGGGAGAGTCGCAGAAGGTGCCGAGGGTCCCTGTGCGAGTGTCAAAGGGGCTTCTTGGTGCAGAATGTCTCCATGGTGGGTTTGTGTGTGTGAGAGAGGTCTGCGCAGCCATGCGCAGTCGTAAAACTGCAAGATCAAACTGCAGACGGTAATTACCGTCCCATTTGCCAAGGCACCTCGACGGGCTCGTCCAAAGAGAAGGCCGAGGGGTCCACACGGCGCCGCCGCGCAGAGGTGAACTCTTGCGGCAGCTCCTCTGCCGGGATCATTCCCCAACCCGAGGATGTTTCAACGAAGACACCGAAGGCCATCACCACCCGCACGCGCCCCGGAAACCAGCTGCCAGAGCTGCTCAGCATCTCGAGCTCTGAGCTCGCTGTAAGAGGTCGTGGAGCTAAAGCCGCGGCCGTCGTCTGCCTGGGCGTCGTGGCAGCCGTGGCAGCCGTGGCCGTTGCTTCGGGCGGCTGGCGACGGCCATGGCCTCTGGATAGCAAGGAGAAGGTGAGGCGCTTCACCAGCTCCGCCTTTAGGCCCTTCGTCTCCAAGCCTCGTGACACGAGACACGGCAGAGAACCTCAAGAAGCTACTGCCTAGACTGTCTAAGGGTCCTAAGCTTAACCGTGTTTTGGGTGCTCGGCCTTGTTCGGCCAGCTGGGCTCTCAGCTTCGTCACGGTCATCTTCTCGATGTCCAAAGCAGTTTGGAGCCGATCCAGAAGATCCTGCTTGCGGCCAGTCCTGGGCAGCTGCCTCTCCAACAAGGCTTCCTTCAACAAACGCACCGTCCAAGTCCCCGCCGGTGCTCCCGCCGGTGCTGGCTGGCCCTCAGAGCTCCGTGCGGCGCCCAGCCGGGTTCGCGGGGAGCGCGGTGACAGCGGGGCGCCCCGGGGTAAAGGCAACGCCCCCGGCAGAAGGCCGCGTAAGACGGTACCGTATCCAGCACCCAAAGTTCTCGCCAAGGGGGCCTCAGGGACATAGCCCCCATAGAGCGCGGAGAAGCCGTGCCAAGGGGCACCAAGGCCTGTCATCGCTGTCCGAGAACTCGAGCCCAGACTCAGACTCAACGGAAAATCGAAATCGCCACAGCCGAGTTCTGCGTGCTTCTTGGGTCGTGCTGCATTCATTTTGTTGCCTCCACGCACGACCTTTGGTGACAGGGCTGCTGTGAAACAAACTCTCAGTCTATCTCCGATTCAGAGAGCTGAGCAGCCATTGCTCAACTCTCCGACTCCAGCTCACTTTGCAGATCGTTCGGAGCTGCCGCCATAGTAGTATCCTAGACTTTGAACACGCAGTCAATTCACTCCTCAGACCTGTTCAGCCTGTACAACTGCTGTGAGGCCTCCCGAAGCCACTCGCGGAGTGCAGAATGTGTCTGCTCGACCCGAGGGGCAGAAGGACTCTGTAAAGTTCGGGGTGCCCAGCGACGGCCCCTGCAAGATTTCGACCTTGGTCAACAGGAACGAAAAGGGATGTGCCCCGAGTACTCTGTCCGTCCGGAGACCATCCAGGCACTGGTCACTGGGCCCACCCCTGTCCTGCTTCCCTCTCCCTCCCTCACTCTATCCGTCTCTCCGTGTCTCTCTCTGGCGCTCTCTCTCTCTCTCTCTTTGTCTCTCTCTCTCTCTCGCTCTCACTCTCTGTCTCTTTGTCTCTCTCCGGGGCCTGTCAGAACCCCCGGGCATCATGCCCACCTGAAATATTCTTGTCTTTCCCTCTCTCTCTCTCTCTCTCTCGTTTCCGTTTCTCTCTCGCTCTCCTTCTTGCCGATATCTCCAGGTCTATGCCTTCGGACTTCCGGTTCGACCTCACCCCACCCCACCCCTTAAGGGTATACGGGATTTATTCGTTTTTCTACATCTGGTGTAAGGGTTTTGGGCTTTGTGGCTTTGTGTTCAGGCTTGAGTATAACATTATATGATGTAATAGTACACAATACAATCATTATCAATCAACGAACTTTGTTCCATTCCAACATTCCGTACTGTATGTTATTAATAGTTATAAGTGTTTTCTTATACTATGTAGCATATTATACCCCAGGCCCTCCCAGCGTCCAAAAAGTTACCCAGTTCCAAAACGGGCGCCCTTTCTGTTCCTAGATTACTGGGCATCTTAGTATCATACAACGCGATTTGTGCCCATGCCCACATGCACGCCAGTGCGCCCACCCGCACACGCACGTGCGCGCGCACGCAGCAGTGCCCCAGTGCCAGAAAAGCACTTTGCGCCTCGTGGTTGTCGATGACGCACTTCTGGTCACACTCGTTTCGGCAGCCGTTGAAAAAGTCCTCAAGCTGCCGCAATGTTGCACAGAGGTCCATGGCCGACAGGGACAAGGAGCAGCGATCTCCAGGAAATCGGGCCCGCGTTTTTACACGATGTATGAAAGCCTCTGAGTTACAAGTCGGTTGACCCCTCCTCCCAACCTGCAGTCTTGGAGCCAATAGCGCAGGGTGCTGCTGAGTGCTGCAGAATGATGCTTTGTCATGCTCCTCCTCTGTGCAAGAGGGTCGAGTCTTCTTTCACCTTGCCGTTTGGCCGATCACGCTTGCTTTGCACCGCCAGCCTCTTTACGGGCGCCTGCGGCGCTAGCGCCTGCAACACCGCCACCATGCACACAAAATGGTCGCGCCCTCCGGTTAGCCTTGCCTGCAAGGTGGAGGAGGCCTTGAAATCTTTGCATTGGGCTACCGTAGAGCAGCAAGTTGAGTCCTCGGCAGAAGGCCTTCCCAAGCACGACAAGAACTTGTGCCGTCTTGCTTTCCAAAGATGCCGTGGGGCTTAACGGTGACCAGAAAAACTGACGAGCCATCCCCGTCCTATTATCTGCCAAAGCCAACTTTACACAATTGTGAATGCTGTGGACTGCGGGAAAACTGGTGCTGCTGCTGCTGCTGCGACGGCTACGGCGGCTACAGACACCAGCAGGATGACGAGTCCATCGTCACCACCACCACGATCATCACTGCGCTGCCTGCTTGCCCCCTTTCCTGTGTGCGCCCCCACACACACACAGACGGAGCACTGACAGACGCAGACACACGAAGAGACAGATGCAAACAGACAATACCAGACACCGACAGATACAGACACGCAAAAACACAGACGCGCACACAGAAACACACCCACACACGCAGACACGCAAGCACGCACACGGAGACACACAGATACACCACAGAAACAACGTTTTGGAAGCCGAGCAACAGGGCCCATTGGTTTCTTCGGCTCCATGGAAACCCGTTTTAAAAAAAATGAATGTTCAACGGCCGTGATGAGTCGAAGGGTTCCATTGAACGCAACACCCGGCAGACCAGGCTTTTCAAGCGATCCACTTCACGGCGGCGGATACCGATTGTGCTAAGTGTGGTTTGTTATATCCGCTGCATTGGTAGCGGCCAGCCCTCTAAGAATCCTGGCCCCCATGTTGGGGAGTGTCGCTCCAGAAGCTACAGAAGGGGGCTGCAGCCGACGTTGATAGTCTTTTTGCTGCACCCGACTGCACCCTGTCCACCTGGGAAGGGCCTGGTCACAGCTTTTTCGCCGACATGTCAGATGTTCGCGATCGATCAGCCGTCCCTGTCTGGGGTGGGTCCTCATGTACATGGAAAAGCTGGCTTTGTTGACGTGCTGGACACGAGGCCTGCGGAAATCCTGCTACGCACATGGCCCTATTCCTTTGGACTTGCCCTACAAGTAGTAATCCATGTCCGTCATGAAACCATAGTTGACTTGCCCCTGCCTGTGCACTTGTTGAGGCAACCAGCTCGTTGCGAACAGTCTCGTGCGACATGAGCGCCGCTGCAAGAGAAGCACTTCATGGATCCTGCTGACCAAGCCTCCGTCGGCGCACTCATCCGCATCTGGCAAAGTCACGCTGATCCTGCGTAGTCACTTCCGTCTCTTCCCACAAGCAGATCTCCCCGACCAATAAGTTGCCAACCAATAAGTTGCCAATCTCATGTGGAGTCTTTCTGAAGAAAAAGCATTGGGAACCTGTCGCAGCAGCTTCGGCAGGTTCCGGCGAACGAGGGGGCTCGAGGCAAGCTTAAGTAACGCCACTGATTGGTTTGCAGGTAGCTTAGACCTGCATGACATCGACAATAGAGGCAACTGTAGCCGTTGCCGTGGATCCCTCAGCTGGGAATGGTGGACTGTTGCGCCGCAGCCTCCTGAGCACCTGAAGCCGTTGTCAAGGGGCCTCGCTTCTTCAGAAGGACCGTGGAGCACGAGTGATCCACACAAACGCCTGCGCCTTCGTTCGTGTTGGAGATGGCAGATGGGGTCGGGCGCTTTGCCGGGTTCGTCTAGCAGGTGCACTATCAGGAGTTATCCGGAGTTTTTCACGCTATGCTCTACCGAACCTCGTCCCCATCCTGATCGGCCTGGATTTATTTCGGCAGTCGTCTGATCATTGACTTCACAACCGAGGCTAGCTACAAGTTCAAGTTTTGCCTCGATGATAGGCCCGATAGGTCCGAGATCTTTCAACTCAAAGATAATCGCAAGGACCACTACAGTCTATGTTGGACATCAGAGGTTACAACGGTTACATCGCGAGAGGACACGTAAGCCTTGAAGGTCATGCGCGTCTGGCTGTATCATCATCTCCTACAACCTACGTGATCTACGACATGGTGACTTCATATATACAAAGGTGGACGGTCAAGACGAACGACGAGAAGTTTCATGAAGACCTCAGGGCCTTCAGGGCCAAGGTCTGCCCAGGCTGCCCTCGACACAGTACGATGAACAGGGGTCGACAATCAACAAGAAGCGGATCGCACGGTGGAGTCCCGCACAAGGACCTGGTGCGAAGAACCGGCTCCTCAACGACATCATCGACTTCTACCTCCACAGCAACACCTTCCGACTCTCGCAGCGGATGACGAAGAAGTGGAAGTTATGCCTGATAACTTTATCGACCACGGGCTCCTCCTGACACTCGTCGACTTCAACATGAAAACGAACCCCGACGGGCAAGGATGCGATCAACAGCTTCGGCCTATTCCCACTTGAACGCCTTCCTCCGTCACCACCTACCGGCCAATCTGGTCAAGCAGTATGGTCACCTTCAACACTCGAGCTCGATCTCACCAAGATCATAATCTCAAGGGACGGCCAATTATGTCCTCACACGTCTTGGAAGATTCGATCGCGGAGATCTGCGGCTACAAGGAAAAGTGCCCCTTGGACTTCCAACTGCGCGGCTTGTACCTGGATTTGGCCATGTCAGTGGCGATGTGTGGAACCCACGAAGAGCTTCGTGGTATTCGATCCTCGTCACCTACACGCCTCTCAATTATAGATATTTAAGTGTCACTTGCGGCAGTGGGGTCGGAACGCGTGCCTTTGCTTTGTCGATCCAGGGCTAGCCCCATCACTTCCAGCGAATTCAATCAGAAAAGAAGGTGATGATCAGTGTGGCTTTCATACGGCATCCACAACCCAGTAAGCTTGAAACTCGGAGACGTTTTGCCATGAACATGTACGCTGACGACTGAAAAACCACGAGTGTCACTGTGTCCTTCGTTGTTGGGGCTGCCTCTGTCCCCATAATTACCAGTGACCAGTGATTAATGTGGCTACATGCGCTGCGGGAGGATGTTTCCTTCCGTTCCGTTCCGCGCGGTTTTGCGGTGTGCCCCCCCAGTCCTTCCTGAAGCTTCCGGCTTGTCACCGCGAGAACTTCCATCAAGGACTCTGCGGCGTCAACTCTTCGTCGTCACTGGCGTTGGATCCGGCCTCGCCTGCCTTAAGCCGCACGAAACTCTTCCCCGCTTTCCTTTCCGCACTCTCGGCCGCATGGTACCTGCGCTGGCCCGGCTACGGGCACTTCAACTGAAGAAGCCGACCCAAAGCCCTGACAGGACGTCTTGCTTCTCTTGCCGCTGCTTTCTGGCTTTTTGTAGTCTCAGGCTGAAGCCCGCTGTCGCGCAAAACCTGAAGGAACGGTGCTGGCTTGCAACATAACGAGTCGGATGCCGCCCTGCATGGAACCTCGGACATTGTTCTTGAAGATCTCGATCTCCTGCCCCTGCGAATTGACCTCGACGCCGGTGCATTTGATCGGCCCGATTCGGTCCTCAGTGATCGAGAGGCTGGAAGATTCCTCATATATGCTTGCTTGATCATCGCATAGTAGTGCGGCTTGAAGTCAGAGATGGATCATCTCGTAGAACCACGGCGAGAGAAGCCGATGGTAATCGACTCCGAACTTGTCTAGTAGCATTTTGCTCAACCGTGCCAAGTCGCGCTTCCAAATTGGACACGCCGAGAAACAGCTGCTGCAAGCTCTCATGCCATTCACTAATGTCGCGGATGGGCTCCTGTAGCTTCGGCGAGATGGATCCGGCTCGCTGCTCATTGATGTGGAAGATGCGATCATTAAACTCGATCAGACGCTCGTTCATCGCCGTCTTCAACTTCTCGAATCGGCGATACGACGCTCCTGAACGAGATCGAAGTTGCTCCGGCTTTGCGCACATTCACTTCGGATCTCGGCCATCATGAGCCACCAGAGATCACTGAGCTAGCCCTGGAGGGATTCAGCAAGATCGGAGACGCCCCCTAGGTCGGGCTGTGTGTCCGTGAAACCTTGCCTCCATCGCCATAACACCGGTGGCGATTGGGCGGGCGCACTGGGGCCATGGCCCAGTGCATTAAGCGTAGCACCGGCTGAGCCATGGCAAAGCCGGAAGGCCATGTGCCAAAGAAGAGGGCGAACATCCTGAATTGGCGCGAGACAAATCTGGTCCACGTGCGATGAAAGGACACCGGGAGGGCCACGGTCGGAGGGCCACGGTCGAAGGGCAAGAGGACAAGAGAAGGAGTCGGTCGAAGGAAAGGTGTGCGAAACAGCACCAGTCCCAGAGCAAGCCACGAGCATCAGCAGCAACAGGCATGCTCCAGCATGAATCGGCCCAGGCAGCTTGCATGGCAGAGGCGGCCCCATGCGGCAACGCACTCTGATCGACCTCGGCAAGCCTCACACAGGTGCGCCTGGTTGGATAGGCAATCCGAGTGCGCAAGTGGCAGCAGCAGTGCAGCAGGCAACCAATTGGATATCGCAGCACAGCGGGCAATGCAAAGGAGGCACGATCAGAGCTTAAAGCCGTTGGTTTGACTACACAGCTAAGAGGTAGCACCTGCACTCCCAAGTGACGGCGGACCTTTTGCTGGACCTGTCGCAGATACCGTCTTGAGCAGTCAAGCTGCGAATGTGACACAAAGCTGGCATGAACCTTATAACAACTGCACAACGTGTCGGTATACAGACGTCGGTGACAAATCACACAAAGAACTCAGAGAAGGATGATGACGTAGTTGGATGATCCGAAGGTGGATGTGGCCGTGTGACCCCGCCGTGACAGACATGCACCGCCCTATACGCACACAGTCAACACAGACAGACACACACACACACACACAGAGAGAGAGAGAGAGTACGCCCCCCCCCCGGCGGTACGGTACGCCGCCGCTTCTCACTTGACAGCACGGCACGAGACGTGGCGACGTCCGGGGCCTCGCCATGGCCGGTGGCCGGGTAGGCGATGGGCGGAGGGATGCTGGGCTTCAGAAATCCAAAGCGGTTCTGCACCAAGGACCGCTCGTGGCACAAACCTCTGAGGCCCTCCGGTCCCGCGAAGCGGCCGAAGCCCGAGTCCTCAAAGCAAAGCGTGAAATCCGAAATCACAACAAGACCCTGCAGGTTCTGACTTCTGACTCTGACACCACGACGAGCGTCCTTGTATCCGCCAAAGGGTAAGGATTGGCTGAGATAGGTGGTGCCCTCGACATCGTTGACGCTGGCCATGCCGCTCTCGAAGTTTCGGCACAGCCAAGCCGCCCGCTGCTCGGAGGAGGAGTGTGCGCAGGCGGACAAAGCGAAGCGACAGGCATTCGCCAAGCGAAGGGCCTCTGCATCCGCCGCCGTACCTGTGCCTTTCACCCGGAAAATACACAAAATCGGGCCGAAGGTCTCCTCCTGTGCGATCAGCATCCCTTCGGTGACGTCACAAAGCACAGTGGGCTCAAAGAACTGAGCATCGCCCCAGGCAGTGTTCTTCTTGCCACCACACAATACCCTGGCACCTTTGGACACTGCGTCGTCGACAAGGCGCTGATAGTTGAGAAGGCTGGGTGGGTGCACGCAGGCCCCACAATCCACGAAACTCCCTTCAGAGCCTAAGGGTGGCCCCTGTCTGAGCTGCTTTACGAGATCTGTGACCTTCTGACAGAAGGTATCGTAAAGTTTTTCGTAGACAATGAACCTTTCGGGCCCTGCGCAGTTCTGGCCCATGTTTTGGAAGGCACCGCGCACCACGAGCTGCGTCATCGCCTCATCGACCAAGGCATCCTCGCAGACCACGAAGGGGTCCTTGCCGCCGAGCTCCAGAATGACTGGGGTGGGAGCCTTCTCCGCACGAGACGCCGCTTCCATGACCTTACGCCCCACCGAGACGCTTCCTACGAAGATCAGCTTGTCGCAGTCTTCGACGAGCGCTTTCCCGGCCTGCCCATACCCCGCGCAAAGCTGCACCAAATCCAGAGGCGCCCCAGCCGCTTCGAGGCATTTGCGAAGGGCCTTGCCCAAATAAACACTGGACCATGCCGCGAACTCACTGACCTTGATCACAATCGCATTCCCCGAAAACAAAGCAGCGATCATCGGATTGAAGACATTGTGAAAGGGATAGTTCCAAGGCACGATGGCCCCCACTACACCCACTGGCTCCCACTCGACACGACTTGTCTTGTGCAAGTTCATGAGCCCAGAGTCCCGGTACTCGGGACGAAGAGAACTCTCGCCCTTTGCGATGGTCCAACGAAGTTTCTCCAGCGTCACGGTGAGCTCACCGACCATGGCATCCAATACCGTCTTGCCAGAGTCTCGACAAGCAACCGTGCAGATGGTGTCCATGTTCTCCAACACGAACTGCTGGATGGTACGCAGCAGATAGCGCCTCTGAGCAAAGGAGGAAGTCTTCCAGGACTGCTGTGCTTGGCGAGCTTTCCTCACTCTCTCCTTCATGTCCAATGCGCTACAGGCAGGAACCTCTCCCAGGAATTCCAAGGTCGCGGGATCCCAGCAGGGGATGGACTCTTCTGGCCAACGAGGCCACTCTTTCTCAAAGTCGAACTTTCGGAGAATCTCGCGGTCCCCTCGAGAGGTCTCGGCCTCCGTGCAGCTTACGGAGACCTTCGCCGCAAATCCGAAACCAGACAGAAGGTCCGTTAGGAATTCCCGCAAGCCGTTGCTCCAAAGCCAAAAGAGACAAAGCAAAAGGAGGAGGAGCGCAAGGCCGCCGCTGGCCTCCAACACTTCCGCGATCCCAACGAGGACGCCCATCTCTCCTCAGAAAGGCATCGAATCGCGCGCTGTAGTCGGCTCAAGCTAAGGCGGCTCCCGCTCCTCGAGCCTGGATAGGGGTCTTTATAAGGGCACAATCGGGCAACCACTAAGAACAGGTTCCCGGGATTACTCACAAGTGCTTTTTGTGCACGCAGGCTCGCAGGTGTGCACGTCGCAAACAGAGTCGCTCTCTGCTCTTCATGTAAGGGGCTTCTCGAGGTCGTTACCTCAGAGAGCCATGGTTGCAAGCCGCAAGCTGACACCCTTCAGCCGGAGTCAGATCCCGCTCACGCAGGAGGCCGTAGCGGCGCAGCGTAAGCCTTGGCTGCAGCCAGCTGCCTCGAAAAGCTGCCGGACTCGGACTGTTGGATTTGAGGCCACAGCTCCTAGCTCAGTACCAGGTAGGGTCCCTCACCTTCCAAGGCTGCGGCGCCCAAATGCGGTGGGCATGCTGCATGCTCTCTCTCTGAGACTCTGGGCATGCGGCTGCTCGCGAGGGTGGCCCAGCCAAGGGCACCGTCCCGGAGGGCACGCACGTGAAGGCGCTGCAAGCCCTGCACAAAAGCCGCAAACTTCTTCTGAAAAGAGCCAGTGATGTTATGCATGCCGCTAATCCGCCAATCGCTGAGGGCTTCAAAAACCCGAACGGTGAGGTTGGTGCAAGCCCTGCCGTTTGCAATATGTATTGCCGGAAAGCATGCCTGGATGCCTCCCACCATGGAACAAGGCTCAAACATCTCGAAGCAGGCTACAAGTGGCGGCTTGCAGGAAGAGAAAAGCAATGAAGCGAGAAGTCCTGGAAGCAACGGCAGCCTCTGCAGAGGCACTCAGGAGGCCGACCAAAAAACAGGAAGCAAAGTCCTAAAGCTGAAAAGCAGAACAATCTTACAAAGAGGCTTTCTGCATTTAGAAGGCCGTGTTTCGGCTTTGCAGGGTTCCTCCGAGTTCGACTGCTTCCTGGTATCCGAAACATTCCAACAAAAACAGCATGCAGAATGCCTGCACCACTATAGTCACTATAGCATGTGGAGTCACTAGAGCTGAGACTCATGGCAAAGATGCTCTCTCTGAGACAACAAAGTGGCGCCTCCCCAGATGGCTCGACCCTGGGCCCGGCATGGACCTGGCAGCGTGAGCGTGAAAGCGGCGAAAGCGCATGGCATGCGTGCCGTGCCCACCCCCCCCCCGCGCTCGAACAACCGGCGCGTTCCGCGCTCTAAGCGGTGCTCGCCTCGAGGTGCTCGCCGACCTGGCGCGAGCTTCTAAGTGTTTCAAGGCGCGGCGCAGGGATCAGCGCTCAGCCCCGGCTCCGGCAGGCCCCCGCCTCCAGGGTCCTCATGGCCGGACCGATGGCCAAGGTTTCCGTGAGGTTCACCTCCCGCTTCACCTCGTAGACCACGCGGATAATCCTCACAAAAGGCATGTGGGGCATCCCTGCGGCATCCCTGCGGCATCCGGCAAAGCACCCAAAACCCCCGCCTGGCAAACTCCTCGCGGCTGACTTTCGTGCCGCCCTGTGGAGTCTGAGTCAGCTTCGGAACGGGGTCTCCGGCTACCGCGGCTACCGGCTACCGAGGCCTTCTCGGCCGCGGAGGCCTCGGCCTGCGTCTCCTTGCAGGCAGCGAAGGCGCGCGCCAGCCTGCGATGGCGTTTTTTTAGCGCTTCTGAAAGGATGCCAGTCTGACACATCGTCTCGGTCTCGGTGGCTCGCTTCTCCACTTCCACATCACAGTTGTTCTCCTTGAGGAAAGCGTGTGCCTGCTTCCAGCGAACTTTCGCCAAGAGAAGCAGAGAAGTGGAAGCAACCATGCAAGCATGCAATGCTGCAATAAGTGGCTTGAGTTACGGCTTCCGCCTCTTCGACGGAGGCGGCATCCTCGCCTTTGGCGATGATCTGGAAGAGGTCCACGGCTTTGCCGCCCAGCTGCTCGATGCACTGCCGAAGCTTCAGGGCCACCTCAGAGACCGAGCGAAGCAGCGATGCTTCATATGTGAAACCTTCCGCTTGAGAAATCACCTCGGCTATGTGCGGTTGTATGGCAAGAAAGCTCATTGCAAGGCATCAAAGCGCGCGCCTCCACTCGCACTTCCTCGACCAGAGAGGCGGCGATGCGGGCCGTGACCTTGCGCCCCTCGGAGGCCTTCCGCTCTGCAAGAAGAACCCTTGCTTCAAGCTTCGCAAGCTTCAGCGAGAGCTCTCGCAGCTTTCCCTGCAACTCTTTCAGCTCCTTCAGCTCAGAGTCCCCCGGGGGCTCCGTCTGCGGTGGCTCCGTCTGCTTCGGCTCTGACGGCTCCTTGCCGTCGCCGTCGCCGCCGTCGCCTTTCTCAGACCCCTTCGGCTCCGACAGCTCCTTCGGCTCCTTCGTCCCGTCTTTCTGGGGCTCAGACTCCTTCTCCTTCGGAGCCTCTTTTGGAGCCTGAACCAGGATCAGCTGCATGGTGCTGTGGCGCAGAGTTCGCAGCTGGCTGACGAAGGTGGGCAAAGAACTCCTTGCCGCCGCGAGTTTTTGATCCAAAGAAGCTTCAAATTTCTGAAGCTCCTCCTGGGTCTGGGTCTCTGTCTGGGATGCATGCGCCTTCACGAAAGCGGCTGAGGCAGACTCCACTTCCAGGACCTTGCTCTCAAGTTCGGCCCATGTGATGGACTCAACTTCTCTTGAAACGGATCCCTTCCGCTGCTTCAGGTACTGTCTATACTCCGCCTCAACCTTTAGAGACTCCTCGTCCTTGGCTTCTGCCCCTGATTTCTTCCTCAAGATGCGGGACTCGAAGCGTGCGATGCCCACGGAGGTGCGCAGCTGCTGGAAGCGCGTGGGCTCCAGCCCTGGCGCGTCCTTGGAACCGCTGAGCTGCTGGAAGATCCGATCCAAGGAAGCCGCGGGGATGGCGAAGCCGTACTCCAGCCTCGCAAAGTTCATGACCTCATTCCGGGACAGGAAGCCGTCCTCGTCCTGATCGTAGGTCCGGAAGATGTCACCGCTCTTCTTGTCAAAGAGCATGGGAGAGGCATTGTTCTGGATCCGCTCGTGGCTTTCCGAAGCCACTTTCACTGCTTGCTGAGCGGCCATCTGGCAGGCCTGAAGCCGGGCCTCGCTACGCTGCACGAAGACCAGCATTTCCTGCCGCAAAGTCTCCAGCTCCAGCAAAGTCATCCGATGCCCTTCCAGCACTTTCCAAGCACCTTCGGCGCTCAGCTGAGCCTTCTTCCCTGCTTCTAAACAGACCCTCCCCATACGCAAAGCTTCCTCAGCACCCTTCGGGAAGCTGGACACCAAAGCATCTCGACCAGAGCTCGCAGAGCTCGCCGCACCGTTGTTTGCGAGCTGGTAAAGCTGCTCCGCGATGCTTCGCGCCTTCTGGGCTTCCTCCTCTGCCTTGCAAAGGCAGGCCTCGACCTCTTGTAAGACTTGCCGGGCATGTTGCTCCTTGACCTTCAGCTCCTCCAGACGAATCCTCTCTCTCTCTGCTTGTTCCTTCTGCCTCTCCTCCATTTGCTTCACGTACTGCTGTGCGTAATTGAAGACACGGTCTGCCTCCGCCTGCAAAGCCTCGCGCTGGTCCCCGGTCTCCGGGAGCTCCGTTCGCATGATCTCCTGGAAGTCGTGGCTCATCTGAGCCCAATTTTCAGGCGTGGCATCCGACAGCTTCTGCAAGGCCTTCAAGACATTCAGGTTGGCGGCCTGCTGTCGCTTTGCCTTTGCCTCTTGCTCCAGCCGCAGCTTCTCCTCCTCTTCACGGCGCTTTTGCTCCTCTTCGAGCTGCAGCTTCTCCTTTGCCACTTGCTCTTCTGCCGAAGTCAAGACTCGCTTGGCTTCCTCTCGCAACTGCGCCTCTTTGTCGCCTGTGTATGGAAGCTCTGAAGCCATGATGCGCTCGAAGTCCGCCTTCAAGCTCTCGAAATTCCCCAAATTCACCCCGGACATCCGGTGGAAGCAGCTGCTCACGGCCTGGACCGCCTTTTGCTGCTTCTCCTCCGGCCTCTCCCGCTCCCTCTCTCGCTCTTTCACACGTTCCAGCGGCTTTTCGCTCTCCGATCGGGCGGAGCCCTGTCCCTCCCTCTCTGAACGAGCCGTGTGGCGCTCCTCACGGCCCTCTCGGCGGTCCTGGCGGTCACGGTCCTCCCGGCGGTCTAACCGATCTCGTACGTCGCGGTCGCGTATAACGTCGCGGTCGGACCTGTCCCGGTCGCCTCGGTCGCGCCCGTCGCGGTCGCGATCTCGGTCGTCGTTGCCCTCTCGCCGCCGGCGCTCCTCCAACTTCCTCTGCATCTTCTCCTCGTGCTTGCGCCGCTCCTCCTCCTTTTTTTGGCGCTCCTCCTTCTCTTTCTCCTTGCGCCGGGCCCGTTCGGCTTCCTCCTTCTCCTCGATGAGACGACGCCGTTTACGTTCCTCCTCTTCTTCCTCTTCTCGTTTCCGCCGGCGTTCGTCTTCCCGTCGTCGTTCGGCCTCCTCTTCTTCTCTTCTGCGACGATCCTCCTCTTCTCTGCGCCTCCTGCGCTCTTCTTCCTCTTTCCGGCGTCTTCTTTCTTCCCGCTCCTCCTCTTCTCTGCGTTCCTCCTCCTTTCGCCGACGCCGCTCACGTTCCTCTTCTTCACGCCGCTCCTCCTCTCTCTTTCTGCGGCGGTCCTCTTCTTCCTTCACGCGCTGGTCCTCTTCCTCCTTTCTTCGCCGCCTTTCCTCATCTTTCCGTCGCCTTTCCTCCTCCTCTCGCAGGCGCTCTCTCTCCTCTTCCTCCCTCTTACGTTTCTCCTCCTTGTCCTTCTTCTTCTCCTTTTCCGGACGCTTCTTCTTCTTCTTGTCCTCTTTGTCGTCACCTCTCCGCTCCGGCTCTTTGTCTTGCTCCTTCCGCATCCGCAGTTCTTCTGCCTTCTTCTTGCGGGCCTCTTCTCTCTGACGAAGCTGCTCCATCAGTCGCCTGTCCTCCGCCTCCTGCAACTCCAGCTCTCGCTCCTCAGCCGTCAAGTCCTTCGAGTCCTTCGGCTTCCGTGAACGTGCACGAGCATCGCTGTCTGAGGAGCCATCGTCTTTCGACAAAGGTGCCGCTTTGGGTCGCAACACTTCCTCGTCTTCCTCTTCCTCCTCCTCTTCCTCTTCCTCCTCTTCATCATCATCCTCATCTTTCTTGTCTTTTGCCTCTTCCTTTTTCAGGTTCCTTTGGCTCTCTTTGGCAAGCTGCGGGGCAGCTGTCACGGTGAAGCTCTTGTCAATGGGCCCGTCATGGGGCACGTTCCATTCCGCAGGTGGCGGCGATGTCGCCTGCAGATCGAAACGCTCACCCCATCACCCGCAAGCACCATGTGCTGACACTTCACATGAGTGCTCCGCACCATGCCCCCCCCCGGCCCCGCCTTGCGACTAGGGTGATATGCCCAAACCATCTCGCCACCCACACTGGGGCTGAACCACCAACCACAGTTCTCTTCACCATCCCGCTCATCCCAGTAGTATATTAGCACATCTAGGTCATCATCGTCATCTGGTGTGTCGTCTGGTTTCTTCTTGTAGACCGGCTTGCCATGATTGGTGCCCTGCCGAAAGTAGGTTCCCTTCACGATCTCGCTGATGGTTTTGTTGACACAGCCGCTGACCACCAGCGGTACGTCCATCTGCGCCTAAAGGCTAAAGGCCGCGGAAAGGGAGAGACAGGTCACGCGGCGTCACGCGGCGTCACGCGACGCGGACACTCCCCGCAGCTCAGGCCGTGGCGGTGTAATTCTCAGGACCCTTTGTCTTGGCTTTGACTTGAGCGGCCGGGATGAGCTTCGCCACGGGAGCTTCCGAGTCCGAAGCTTCCGCCGCCTTACCTCGAGGAGACGCGAAGCAAAGGACACTGCAGTGCCTGGCCGTGACTGGCCTTCTTTCTTGGGCCGCTCTGAGGAGGACTTCCTCCTCTTCTTCTCAGTCTTCTCAGTCTTCTCCTCCTTCTTGCGCGGAGGGCTGGAGCTGCTCCGGCGCCGACGTCGATCCTGGAACGCTGGAACGCAGAGCGGCCCGAAGATGCCCGAAGGACTAAGACTGCAGGCAAGCCTTCTTTCCCATCGGCCGCGGCCAGCCTGAACAGAAACCAGGATAACAAGGACAAAAGCTGTGATGCTGCGGTGGGTTCCAGTCCCAGTGCACCTGGAAGTTGAGATGGGCGCCGCACGACTGTTTGTGCTGCACCTACGTGTGCTGAGCTGTCGCACTAGCCGCCCCCTCTTGCACCAAAACCTCTGAGCCAGACGCTGCATTGATGAACGGCTGCCAGAAAGGCAGACAACGTGAAACACTGTGTACTAACCAGCACCCCCGCACCGCGATGACTCTCACAAGTGTTCCTTTCTCGAGAGGCATCTCTTTGAGAGATGCTGAGGATCCACTTAAAGCTCCTCGTTTGAGGAGTATAGGCTCGGGGGAGGCCCGAGTTCACCTGGCCAGGCTTTGGCTTTGGCTATTTGGCTACTACCAGCTGTTCAAGCTTCATGAGGCCCTGGCGCTGGCGTCCTCTTTCTCCTAGCAGCATCCTCCTTTCGCTTCACCTTGGCCTCTTCGGATCGAGCCTGCAAAGGCTTTCGCGCGCGGATGCGTGCTGGCGGATGCTGGCATGTGCGCCGGATGCCGGATCCAGCACCTGCAGCACCAGCCGCCTTGCTTCCTCCATCCACTTGTGGTCCTCGAGAAGAGGAGAGGAGAGGCTCCGCTCTGGCTTGCTGTTTATGGGGGGCGGCTGGCGGCTCCTTGGGCACTCCGTAGACCTCCGAGGCCTCCTGGACCACCTGCGGCGCGGAAGAGTCTCCCAGGGAAGGGGGGTGGGGGAGGGCGGGAAGAGCTGGTGGGAGGCGGCCAGGGAGGCGCCCGGCGCCTGGTCGATCTCGTTGGCCACCTGCCCCGCCTGAGCGCGGAGCACAGCAGGAGCGGAGCACGGCCGCACGGCACACGGCCCCCGACGGAGCCCAGGGTGTTTTGCTCAATGGACTTCATCAAGTTCAAGCAGTACCTGTCAGCCACGCTTAGCCGCGTATAGCCGCGGCCCCCGAAATTGACGTCTCCGCTCTTACCGGAAGGCTCTGTGCGCCCGCAAGTCGTAGGCCAGCCTCAGCAACACTTGCGACGTCGGCTGGGGCGGCGTTTTTGGGGCTGAGGCGAATCTCCGTCCGAGGCGCTGCCAGGCCTTCGAGAGCTCCGGATGATTCGGATCCACCGAGGCGGCAGAGGCCGCCTTTCGAAGCGCTCCGTAACGTGCCTCACCCCTCACCATCCCTCACCGGCCCTCACCGCCGCCTTGATGGCATACTCGATCCGAGCCGCCTTCCTCAAGGAGTCCTCCACTGCAGCCCTTGGGCCCTTAGCCCGAGTGCCAACGAGAACGCGTCCCGTCCCGTCCTCGCCCAGACTGTCCGAAACAGCACCATTCGAAGCCTGTTTCGGGGCGACTGCAACTGCGGACGGTGCCGAGGTCACACCGGTCACACCTCGGCCTTCGCAAAGCGGTACACTGCCATGGCATGAGCGTGGCGAGCCTCGCGCGACTTGCGACAGAGAGCCCCGGAACTCCCTCCCCGGTTCCATCGCCACTCTTCGTCTTGAAGGCTTCTTTCTTGCGCACACACGCTTGGGTCGCGCAGACAATGAGTTTGGGCGCACGGGCCGGGGAGATCGGAGACCGTCGTGGCGCGGCCAGGGGGAGGCCTGAGACGCCTCTAAGTTTTTTGTTATAATGGTTTGTGGCTCTTACGCTGATCGCGCTGATCGCGGCGATCGTCGGCCCCGGCCCGGGTGACACTGTTGCGAAGCTCCATTCTGCACTGTACAAACTGTGCACGGCTGTGGAGTCTTTTGCGCCACTGCCGACCAGCTTAGCTTCAGCCCGTTCGCGAATTTTGCGACCGGGCGCGAGCCGAGAGCATTTTCAGTGTCTGTGTGCGAGGCTGCCGTCGCTGGGCAGCGCGGCCAAAGCGGCCAAGGCGGCGCTAGCTTCCTGGCACAAAAACTGCACCAGCTTGGGCTCCCGCCCCGCTCCCGCGCCGCTCCCGCCCCGCTCCCGCCCCGCTCCCGCCAGCTCCCAGCTGGGCGTCTGGCCGATGTCGAGGATGATCGCTACGCCCGCCAGGACCCACTTGGCGGCAGGTTGTTTGGTTCTCAGCTGGGCCACGAAGACGAAGTGCGGCCTGGCCGGGATTGGCTGGAGGGCGGCCGACGTCAAACCCCTCCCACCATCTCCCACCGCCCACGGCCCACCTGCGTGTCGGCACACAGTACGTGGGGCACAGGTACATGTTCTTGTCTTCCTTCTCCTGTTGCAAGCCGGCCTGAATCATGGCGACTCTCGACTCTTGCGAGATTCAACTCAACCTATAGACTTCGCCGACGTCGCCTTGCAATTGATCACTGGCAGCCGTGTGAACATGTCCTTCGGTCGCGAATCCTCGCGTCGAACGGGAAACTGGCATCTGGCACGACCCACTTTGCATGTCATGCACGTGAAACTTAGAGATGCAACTCTGCAAAAGCAGCCCTGTCAAGGACAAGGATACCGCAGGATACCTGTTGCGCAAAGACAAGAAGATGCGGTCGTCACCCTTCGAACGCCCTAAGTTTGAAGCGATACAACGGTAGCCGCGTCAAGGAGAAACTCAGAAACAGCCTTCGAGAGCCGCCGTCCTCCAAGCAGTTGGCGTTCGCATCCCAGCGAGCACCCTCGAGGTACCTCCCGCAGCGACTCCTGCGACTAGGCCCTAGGCCGCGTCGCCTCGTGGCCCTGAGACTTCAAGCCTATTGTCGTAGTGCCGAACTAAACACGGAGCATCGGAAGGGCATACATGCCAGTGCTTTGGATGAGCACAAGCGAGAAAGGCTGGGACATGAGCAGACTTTGGGGGCGCATTCCCGTGACATAGGCCCCTTCGCGCGCCAGGCTGTCGACCATCTTTGGGTCCAAACGCTTTGTGACCTCCAACGAAAAAAGGAGCCTATAGACTTCGCAGGCGAGCGTGGCGGCACTCGTGGCGGCACTCACGGCAGTTTGAAACCCCCGTCTCCGCGGTAGCGCTCTCGGTATAATATGCCTCGGTGAAGACGTGCAAGCGGTCCAGCTCCAGGTTCACGCTCTGGCAGCCTGCCAGTGGGCCACACTTGCGTTTAGCAGAGTCCGCCGCGAGCACGGAGCCCTGGGGGTGGCGGGCAGACTTGCTTGATGGCGGTGAGGAAGCTCTGAGGGTTGAAGAGCCTCGAGACGTCCACCACCTCCCAGGAGCGAAGGCGCTATGCGAACCCCCCCCCTCCCCCAGCGGCCCCGCAATGCCCTCGGCCTTGGGGATGTGGATGGGCTCTGCAGACCACTCCTCCAGCTGTGCACAGCGGTCCTTGAGGTTCACCAGCCAGGACCTCAGGTCCCGTCTCGACCCGCACCCGCACCCGACCCCTTCGCTTCGCGCCGCGCTCTTCGCCGCACTTCGCCGAGCATGTGCGCGCGCGCGCATGTGCCTGAGAGGCCGCGTGGAGGGGAAGCCCAGCTTCACCCACCAGACTGGCAAGATCTGCTCCGACAAGGCCTGCAGGGCCGCCATGGCAGATGGCAAAGCGCGGCGGCGTGCCGTTCTTCGCTTAAGTCTCGCTTGTCTCGCTTGTCTCGCGCCTCCGCTAACTGCTCCATGTGTTCGCTCATGGTCAGCTCTCCTTTGAATCCTTGCTGCAGCTCGTTGAGCCCCCGCACCTGCCAAGGCAAATCTCCGCCCCCCGAACAAGTGGCGCTCAGACTCCGCTCACGCCGAGGCTCAGACCATCTCCTGAACCAGACAGTTCATGCAATCGCACTCCTGGAGCAGCGGGAAAACACTCTGGAAAGAGGGCGTGCCGGGATGGCCCCGCGTGCAGCAAATGCAGCGCGCCTGCATCATCACGAACTGGTACGGCCCTCGCTCCTGGTCACCAGCAGAGCGAAGAGGAGAGCGAAGGACCCCCGCAGGCAAATCAGCACCGCTCTAAACACACACACACACACACAGACCGGACCGCCGGCTGAGCCTCAGCTGTGTTCAAGTTCAGTGCTGCATGGCGCATCATTCGCGCGCGCACTGTAGCTTCCCCCATTTCTCCATTTGTTGTCGGTCCTCCTCACTCAGCTGCGCAGAAATCTCCTCCCCCCAGATCCGATCCGGTGCAAGCTCTTGGTGCAATGCTTTGCAAACGGCTGATGCTAAAGTAGGTACCTCGACGTTGAAACGAACCTCTCGAACCTGGGCATTGCTGACTCTAGGCCCTTTTCCAGACTGTTTCGTGGCTGCAGAGCTCGAAACCTCATCCAAAATCTCGCTGCACATCTCTTCGGCCTCAGCTTTGGAGCTAAAGCCCCGCGACTCTTACGCTTTTTGTGCGCGAAGAGCGAGCGATGCGCTCGCTTTCCGAGCTCGGAGCAGCAGCCATGGGCGACTGCTCCTCGGCAGCCTGGCACTGGCACTGCAAGCGACGTCTGCTCTCCGGGCCTCCGCGGAGGCTCTCCGGTCCGGCGGGACTGCTCCTCTCCCGGGCTACGCTTGGGCTGAATCAGCTGCAAGAGCTCGAAGATGGTCTCACACCTAAGCGGGATGGGGCGGGGTCCCGGGGTCCCGGGGTGGGCAGGGGAATTCCGGGGCCCCCGGCATCTTCGTGCGGAAGTCGATCTCTGCGTTGGGGTGCATCCCAAAGAACAAGGGCGACTCCGCCGGCATCGTCTCCTGAGAGGGAGCGAGCATGGCTGCATGAGCATGACTGAGCATGACAGCCCAGCCCATTATCCCATGGCTTTGCAGAAGAGGAGCGATATGCTCCAGGTATTTCTCATGCGTTCCGGGGCCGGGAGACTTCCAGCTTAGCTGCCCATCAGCCTGAGGAGCAGTCGGACATGTAAAGGGTTGAAGAGAAAACCCAGTGTTTTCCAGTGACTGGATCCCGGCATAGGGAACGAGCTCCATCTCGTCCAAGATCTCGTCCTGCTGAGCGACGGACGAAGACGGACGGAGGCCCCCTGGGGCCCGCCGTGCAATCTTGCAAAGTCCGGTCCTGCATGAAATACGTCAGATACTTCTGGCACATCCTGCGGTCCCAGTCGTCAACAATGTGCCCTGCGCAGGAAGTCGGCGGACATCGTCGAAGGATGACGGGATGCTCTGGCGAAAGCACGCCTCCGTACATGATCTCCCCAAAGATATATCTCAGGTCCTCCCAGGGGATCTTCACCGCCGTGGAGCCCTGATATAGGGCAGGGACTGGGGAAGTGACGAGTCCAATAGTTTTCAGCGCGAGCCTCCAAGTAGTTGTAGAGAACGGAGGCCGAGTCACGAAGATCGCCGTTCGAGAACGGGTACTTCCTGGATGCTCAGAGCTCCCAACCAGGAAGAATCTGCATCTGCCCAGCACTCCAAGATCCGAGCATGTTGTAGCCCAAAGCCCCAAACTTCTTCCGCTCCAACATCAAGGAGTGAAAGTGGCACAAGGCAAACAAGATTGACCTCGCGGCGCGCTAGACTCAGAAATCTGCGCTCCTCTTTTAAGCCGGATCCGGCACTTCTCTGCTTCTCTGCTTGCAAAGTAGCTTGATCTTGCTGTCCCTCTCGTCGAACTCCTCCCGGTTGAAAAGCGCGAAGGAGCGCCTGCCGTCAGCAGGGGCCGCCCAACGCCCAACACGAGGGACGCGGCACGTGCGCCTGAGGTTGGCCTGGAGGCCCTGGGGCGGTTCGTTGGTGAGCTTGATGGACCGTTCCAGCAGGCCAATGGGGATACCCAAAGAGGGGTCTGCGGAGAGAAAGAGCCGGAAGTAGGGGCTGCTGTTCCTTGGCGCCGCCGGAAGCAATTCTGATGTCCGGTTATGTCCTCGTCTTCTCTTTCTGCTGCTTGGGACTTGGGACCCTGCTCCACCGCGAAGGCATCCAACCTCTTCTCCAGCGTGGCCTCCGACGTCGGAAGAAACACAATGGCAAGTCGCCAAAGTCTTCTTAGGCGACAGGCACACCATGAGGGCATCAAGTGGATATTCTGGAGCATGACCTTTGCTTGAAGGTTGGCAGGTTGCAGCTGTGCGAAGCGCAGTTGCAGTTGCTGAGGCAGGCGCCCAGTGGCCCTCTTTGGATCCTAACTCCAGCTTTTGCATGGCGATCTCATCCTTTCATTATTTACTGTATGCAATCTCTCTCTCTCTCTCTCTTGCACTTTCCAGTTTCAACTTGTCTCCCCACCTGGCCCTGCCCCATGGCGACATTGTGGTAGTTCACGTTGGCCTGCAAGCCAATCAGGACCTTGCCCAAGGCTTCCACCTGGCCACGTTGAGCCTCTCCCCTTCTCCCTGTCCCTCTCCTTCTCCCTTGCTTGCTCTCGTCTCTGTGAGACAGCAAGGACTGACCCTGCACTCTAGCCTAACGAACCCCCGGCCTCGCGCCTGGCTCTCACCGGCTTTCTCCCTCTCCCTCTCCCTGCCTCCCTCCCTCCCTCCCTCCCTACCCCCTGCTCCCTTCTTTATCAGACCGCAGGAGCCACCTCTGTGATCAAAGCTGTTGTAGGCGTGACAGCTTCCGTCGCGACAAAAACGCTGAGAGTTTCATGGGCTGTGCATTTGTGGATTCTGCAAGTCCGCATTTCGTACACTGGAAGACCGTTGGCATAATCCGCCGAGGCCACTACCAGCACAGCAATGGGAGGCTTCACTGAGTGGGCCACTCCACTTCCGTCCTCACAATTTCCCACCTTCCCCCCTCCCCTCCCCCTCAATTTGTTGCTGATTCCACACCCCCCCTCCCCCCCGGGCCGCCCCTACCTTCCCTTCCAAGCCACTTCCTTCTTCTCTTTCTCCATCTTTTGCTACTTTTCCATCTTCCCGCTGCAACCATCTCCCACCCTTCCTTCCTGTCCTTCGCTCGCATGTTTTTTCCATTGCTTACTTCCCGGCCTACTTCTCTTGACTTGTTTTTTGTTCTATCCTGTCCTTTCTTCTTCCACGCGTTCCTTCTTCCTCCTCCACGTCCTTGCCTTCGTCTTCTTTTTCCAGCTTTCCGGCCCCAAGCTCCCTCCTTCCTTTTGCTTCCTTTCCTTCTGCTCCAGTTCTTTCTTTTCTTTGTCCATCTTTACCACTTTTCCGTCTTCACCCGCTACTTTTCTATCTTCCCGCCTTTTCCATCTTCCTGCTGCTTTCGTTCCCCTCCTGCTGCCCCACTTCCTTCTTTTCTTTGTCCATCCTTTACTAGTTGACCACTTTTCCATCTTCCCCGACCACGTTTCCATCTTCCCGCCTTTTCCATCTTCCCGCTGCTTTCACCCGCGTGTTCTTTCAATTGCTCTTCTCCTTCGGTTCTCTTTTGCCCTTCCTGCCCTGTTCTCACTTTTTGTGCTCCTTCTGTGCCTGCTGCTGCTGCTGCTTGCGGTGCGTCGCTGCTGGCACTGCTGGAGCCGCCAGCCGAGGGGGCCGCGTAGCGCTAGAATTATCATGTCTTCGCACTGCTGTCAAAGCTGACGAGTTCCCCTGGAAGGACCAACAGCAACTTGAAACGGCAAACACCAGCATGGTCAGCTTACGTCACAGACGGAAGTAGTCCTTCGCATTGTCACGGTGACTCTACCGCACCTGCATGACGTTGTGCCAGGCATTTAATTTTATTCGCCTCGACCCCCCTCGTGCAGGCCCATAGAATCAAGAAAGAGTTGTCAATCTGCCAATCTTGACGACGTCTGGACTCTGGTACGTCTTCCCGTGTTGCACCATTTTGGTTGGATGGGCTTGGCTACGCTTGGCTGTACGGGAGTGTTCAAGGAGCAGCGGGGTCCCCGGTCAAACGAACAAACGCTTGGGTCTCTCTTGCTCGCACGCGGCCAAAGGGGGTTGTCCCCCTGCACGCGTGCGCGCACCGGTCACTGCGGCATATGTGAAACCCCCAAACGATCGGAATGTGGCGCCGGCATGGTGGCACCCACAGGGCAAACCCTGTCCACTGAACTAAGGACTCCAGGCCTCGCCGCGCGCCTTATCCCGCGCCATGCTCTGGCTTCGTGCCGGCGTATCCCATGCACTTTGTTTTGTGCTTGAGACCCCACCACCCCTGCGCGCGAGCGCTACGCCACTGTTCGTGCTCGGTGTGAAACTTGTCGCTCTCTCTCTCTCTCTCCTTCTTTCGCGCTTCTCACCCGGCCCCGCACCTCTTTGACGGGATCCGCCCCCGGCGACAGAATGAAGAAGAAGGGTGTGTTGCTGGTGGAGTCCTGCAGAACTGGGCGCCGGGGTCAGAGCACCCTGCCCGCATGCCGCACGCCGTACGCGTGTATCCAACTTGCGGAGTCAATCCGAACAGCCAGCCGACAGCCGAACACAAAGCCTTGAAGCAAGCATTTTAACACGGCAGCGACTTCGGGATGCTGCCCTTTGCAAGAGCCGATGCGCATCCTCGTAAGACGACTGGAGCACCTGAAAGATGTGTCGACTTCCCGGCATCCGGCGAGCTTTCATGTCAGCCTTGTAGAAAGACAGCGATGCGTCGCAGTCGATGTAATCTCTGCCGCTTGGAAGGCTCTGCCTGTCACGCGGAACCGTGCAAAAAAAGCACTCCTCAGCACTCCTACAGGTCCTACAGTCTGCCAGTGTTTAGCACAGTGCCTTATCCACTTGGCCAGTGCGATGGACATACGGTCCGGTCGAAGACAGCGGATCACCAGCCTGACAGCTGAGAAGCAACCAAAACATCTGAAACAGACACCTGCAGATCTTGGCTTTGAGTCGCGGGCAACTTCCTCGGCTGTGGCGTCGTACAGTCGTACAACGGCGACAAAGACGGTGACACTGACTGCTCCAAGCACGGCCGAGTTGCCGAAAGTATTTTGCGTCCAGCGTCTTCCAATCCAGAGGCAGCTTGGCATCCTGCATGGGATCGCCACGAAGCCACGCGAAGCCACGTTTAGGATGCCGACATGCTGATGCTGCAGCTGCTAGGGCCGCTCCGGCCAGTTAGCCTCGTCCGTACACCTCCTGGACCCCGCCCGCCTCCGGGGCGGCTTCGGCCATCCAATCGCGGAAGCCTCGGCGGTGCGGTTCATGCGAGATAGGCCAGGCACATCTGAGAGGCCGCCCTTTCCTTTCTCGCTGGGAAAGCGGGCGGTTTGGAGCATCGCGCTCCATGTTCTGCCTCTTTGGAGGAGGATGCAGGCTCCGCCGCGCACCGCTGCTCCGCTGCTCTGCCGGGCGCCGGGCGCGAAGTTCTCAAAGCCCTCGAGCTCCACCAGCTTCAGGACCATGGCCTCAGACGTTCAGGATTTCCCCCCCCCCCCCCTTGCTTCGCTGGGTCGGCTGGGTCTTCGGGCCCAGGATTTGTTCGGGAGCCAGTCGCTGAGAGGGTTCTCGTAGACGGGCACCGAGGGCGCCCGGAGAAGGAAGCCGAAGTGGCTCGCGACGAAGTCCTCCCACGGCGGTGTCTCGGTGACCGGCTGGGGCGGCGGGGGCTGCGCCTCTCCTCCCTCCTCTTCTCTTCTCTCGGCTTCGGCTTCTGCTTCGGCTCTCTCCTCCTGGAGCTGCCTCAAGGAGAGGAGCCGGAAGGCGAGCATGGTGCAGAAGATGAGCCTCGGCTAGGGACTCACTCCTAGGGAGGACCGGGGAGGACCTAGGCCGCCTAGGCCTGGACGTGGCGTTTTTTCGTCGGAGACTTCCAACAAAAACATCCGTTAATAAATGCTCTTAGAGCGCAGTCTCCAACTCCAAGACTTGCAATGTTGCCGTCTTGCCGTGCCCAGCCGCAGCGGAGACTCTGCGTTGCTGAGAGTACCATGCAGGTGTTCGCAATTTGTTCTTAGCCCTGCGCTGCCGGATGAGAAGCGGGAACCTCCTGACCAGACCCTGAGTCTCTGAGTCCTCCTCTCCGCATCAACACAGGTCAAGCAGCTTGTGATCTTCGAAGAGGCCCCGGTTCACCTCGAACGGCGGATTGTACTCACAACCCGCTTGCACCCGAACCTTCCTCTTGTCGTCTTGAGAGCTGCCATTGCAGAAGAAGCCACGCAGAAAACTACGAGTATGAAACAACCATAACTGGAATGCACAAGCCAGTGCAAAGAATTGCACGGCAGAACGGCTGTTGCAGCTTAAACTGACTTGAAGCATGTAGAGAGAACTGGAGAGCAAGTAGGTGAAGGCAATTGTTGGGAAATGCTCCAGAGCCATCGTCTTGCATACTTCTTTTTCGAATCTACACCTTGAAGCAGTAGATTCCTGAAACTCACACGCTGCTAGAGTGCTAGACATCCCCTTCAAGAGACCTTCCGGAAAGCCAACGTGCCAGTTCTGGTATTTGTCGTTGCCATGACCGCACAACAGCGGCATAGCACTGCTCGCCACCACGAGATTCCCGGAGAGACCACCGCCGACCACCAGGACACGGCCAACCTGCTTTCCCAAGAATACTGGCTGGATTCAGGGGAGCGGCCTCCCACAAGTACTCTAACGCCTTAGTCACACCCACACCAGAAAACACATCAGGACCAGGACCAAAACGCTCTCCGGCATTCCAGGAGTTGTTCGGCTAGAGATCAGTATTTGCCCAGCAGTGGAGCAAACCTTGGCAAAGACACGCGTGCGGCGGCGTGCGGCGGCTTGAGTGCTTGTCTTGCGCTTCGTCCCGTCCAAAGTCCAAAGCAGCACTCCGAGGAGCGCCGGCGGCACGTGGCGGCGTGGCGGCAGCGCCCGAAGCGCACGACGGCGCACGACGAAGCGGCCCCCCCCCGATTCTTGCAAAAGCTCGGCGCCGCTCAGGCCGTGGCCCAGCGGAAGACCGTGAGCCGTGCCGAGGCGATCAAAAGCTCCGTGCGCTCCGAGACCTCCTCCGAGCCCTGCCGCAGCCGACCGCTCCTCCTAGCCTCCTAGAGGGAGCTCAGCTCGAACTCTGAGCTCGTTTTTCTTGCTTTCGCGCCTGGGTGCGGTCGATGGCCTTCTGCAGGAAGGTGTTGAAAGCGTCGAGGGAGTACTGGTACATGTGCTGCACCTCCGCTCGCGGCGCGTGGCGCGCGTCCGCATGCGTCCGCATGCGTCCGCTGCCCCTGCTGCTTTTCTGCATAATCGAAGTCCAAGAGACCACGCAGAGCTGGTTGATTAAGAAGAAGAGCATAGAACCTCAGAAACTTCCAAGGGGAGACAGAGATCCATCACGAGAGAAGCGCGTCTTCTGCCTTCCGCCGCCACTGGCCGGTAGAGCTCTCTGGAGTGATTGATCTCAACCTGCCGACAAGCAAAACGATGAACCGCTGCCATCCGCTGCCATCCGCTCCCGGCCTCCGTTTTTTGTGCTTCCGCCACTTGCAGGCCAATCTCGCGACTTGTCTGCTTCGTCTTCTCCAGGCCCTGTGTGCACAGATGAGACGTTCCGTTCTCACAGAACGTGTCGCAACGCGGGAGCCTCGATGAGAGGCAAGTTGTCCAGGATGGTCGTCGGATCCGCAGCAGAGAGCTGGGACAGCAGCTCGTCCTGAGCATGGAGAGCCCCGGCGAAGAGCCCCTCGCTGACACCGTGACACCCCACTTTCTTACCTCTCTAAAAATTCAGTCTTTGCGCCTCCAGCCTGCTCAGCACCACCTTTCAAGATAGAGAGTTGGGGGCCATTTCTGCGTGGCGGCACGAGGCGGTGCGGCAACGCCTTGTACTCGTTCTGCCGTCGAACCAGCGTCTGCGTTTGAACGCAAACCAGACGACCGCATCTGGCCCCTGTGCCCACGCGCCTGCTTCTCCTCCTCGAGCTGGGGCTTCTCGCAATTCACCACCATGGCCAAGACTTGCTCCTGCAGCCGGCTGCAGTCGCTAGCCGCTGGCCGCGACAGCTGCGGCACCCCTTTGTGGCCTCGAGGCCCTCGGGAGTGACAATGAAATTCACCACCGTACACTGCGCAGAGACCTCTCGCACAGCTGCAAGTTCTCTGTCTCGATTCGATATCAACCTGTTGAACCCTACAATGACAACCCTTATGGAAACAATGTGTCCCAGGAGCGATATGCACATGCAGCAGTTCGAGCTAAGACGACAGCTAGCTGCCTTTGCATGACCACTCGCACTGCATGGCAACAACATATTCTACCGTAACAGAGCATGAAACTCTTGCGAAATGATAATACCTAACCACCGTTGTATATGTATACGAGCGTACGCCGGCTTTATCAGGTTACAGTTTAGAACAACATGCGTGGATCTGGCATGACAACAAGGGCATAAATCATGTTCGCATACAGGCTCGGAGATTGATTGATGCACTGGAACTCTACAGTACTGAACATAAGAAGCATGTCGGTCAATCGGGAACTATGTCTAGCCCTGCATATATTGATAAATAACTACATAAATACGTCATGATATAAATAAACAAACAAATAAATGAATATATATATATATATATGTTAAACTGAATATGTCTAGACAGTTACAAACATGTTGGAACAATACAGTATTACATCGCGGTGTGCAACGCCATGTGCATGTGCAAACGAACTACAAACTTAACCACCACCTAATTACAACTGTACGGCAGTGATGTAGCCACTCAAAGACACAGTAGACAGGTGTAGTTGGAGGTGGCGGTACTCCTTCTGCATTTCAGCAACACTATGCAAGATCTCACAGGCGTATGCGTGTGCGTAGTGTAAATATGTATGTATGTATGTATGTATGTGGGCATATGTCATGCTAACTAAATCAGATAGACGCATGTCTCCACACATTCCGCACGCCTACGCAATATCTTTAAAGAGCACAAGGTTTACGGAAAATATTTTAAAGAAGACCTATGAAAGTGCAAGAACATCAATTGCAATAAGGAGCAGCTTCCATGTAGCATACACCAATAAACGACTCATGTCGCGAAGCTTCACACAAGTTTCCGCCTATGTGGCTCTGATATGGAATCGTATCTGTAGCTGGGCACGGCGGGTATGAGCCGGGGGCACGCGCACTCAATAGTTTATAAGCTGTAAACAACCCCGGCAATCGCAAGCAGGACTGTCGTGACAACCAAACAGGCTGCTCTGGGGAAATCGCTCACAACTCAATCCTGTTGTAAAAGGAGCTGTAGATGGGGGAAAGGCCCAGTTCAGTGGCGGCTTATAGTTTGAAGGCTGAGGGTCTTTCACGGCTTTGCACCGACCGCTGTCCTGCAAAGCTGGCCTCGGGGCGGAAGTGAGGGTTCGGCAGCTTGGACTGAAGGTACAGCTGGAACCTCGTTGTTTGGATGGGAGCAGGACAATACTACAACACTTGCCAGGTTTCGAGGCTGGCACTTCGGGTCGTATTCGATCTCATCCGGGCCAAGCTTCAGGAACATGGGGCCTTGGCCTTGCTTTCCCCGCTGGATGACCTAAGATTTCGAGTTGGAGGAATGCATTTGCACTACCCGGCATAAAACCAACGAGGGCTCATCGCACACGCTCGCCCAAATGGGAGGCACGGGTAAGGATGCTGAATCGAGAGAATCTGCCGGTCTTGATGCGCTGCTCTTTCACTTTCGAAAAATCTGCTTGCAAGCGCACCCAAACTGCGGTTTGCTTTTTTGCGGCGTGCATACACGTATTACCATTGTAGACAGTTGACCAAAGCTTGGTGGCAGTTGGGGAATGACATGTATCATCCGCTGCACACATGCTTTAGTTGCAATTGGGAGGTTCCTCAAGCAGCAATTCCGCCGGGATACGGCAAATGCAGGCTACTTGCCTCACAGCCGCTCGCTCTTTTGTCGACGCACCACGCCCTGAACGACTCTGGATTCTCGTGCCGTCGTGCAGGCACGAAACTCTAAAGGCGGCTCAGCGTGTAAAACCACTGACAAAACTGGATTCAAACCTTGATACAATGTCGGAGAATTCTCCCAAAAGTTTCCCGAACTGTGTAAAACCTTCTTTGTGCTTGGTTGGTAACATCTACCGAAAATCATACATGCGAAAGACAACTCTACCTACGTTTACCCGGACTGCAAAAAGCTTCGGTAGCCTATTGGGCTCAAGTGTGCTCCACTACAACTGTACATGGCACACTAATGAATTACGTAGGGCATGAGCGTTGTTCGCACCCTCCTTGTGCCATGTAACACCCGTTTGGCACAAAACCTAAAAAGCGTGAAACTGCTTCAATCCTTTCGACTTCTTGACTTCTTGATAGTTTACCAATCCACACTAGATTGTTGGGCGCTTAGATGCCCGTACGCAGATCCAACAGACACTGTAGCGCAACATGCTCGCGCCTGCGAGACTCAAGCAAAGGCAGCAGCAAACGGGGTAAAGCGACAGATCTTGCTGGCGAAAGAACGTGGTGTTATCCAGCCACACTGCTCTTGATAACCATGGCATTTCACGTGTGTTGTGTTCTGCCCTCTGTTGTCGGATGCTGAGGCTTGAAGGGTTCTCAAAGCTTGTTGGCACACTGCTCGAATGTATGCGCTGGTTGTGTTTCTTTTGGTGCTGCCGTCGCTTGTCAGCGGTTCCAGCCCACTCCTCCTGTGCGCGGCGTACACTTCTCTAGGCGCCAGTTCTCGAACACACTTTCCGCAGCCGAACTTGAGCTCGCCCTGGCCGGTGGCGGTCCACTAAGTCGAGGCGGCGGCTCGTAGTCCCGCGTTGGCTTGTGCATGCGGCCGCGGTGTTCCGGGGTGCTCGTCCTTCCAGAAGCCTGCTGCTACCGCGCTTGGGTTTTCGGAATCTGTGCTTCGTTCCTCCTCAAACTTTGTTTGCACTGAGCCATGCCAAAGTGCTGGTTTTCCTCCTTCCTCTCTTCGTTCGAATCTTGATCCGTTTCTTCTTCGACGATGCTTGAACTTGCGCTCTCAATGCTAACTGCTAACACTTTGTTCTTCCCGCAGCTCTGTAAACTGCCTGAGGCCCTGTCGTTGGAGGGCCGCATTGGGGGTATTCGCACATGCTGTGGCATGACACTCGCCTTCAACAAAATCAACCATGGGTGGAATTGTTGTTTTTGCAATCTTTTTTGTGCATTTTGGGCACTCTTTTTTTTTGGGGGGGGGGTGGTGGTGGGGCTGGGGGTTTCGGGTTTGGGGGGAGTTGCCTACGTTCCCGGGTTTCGGGTTTAGGGAGGAGTTCTTCTAGTTTGTTTATATTCCCCTAGTAAGACCAGTCCTTTATCTAGTTTTAAAGTGGAAAACCAGGATTTTCTCGATATGTCGAAGTTGTTTTGGGTGCATTTCTTTTTGTTTGGTGTTTCTTGTTGTGCTTTGGTTCGTTGTCTTTGTTTTTCCTAGGAAAACCAACATTGTATAGCTTCATAAGATTAGTACAACTTTTTGCCGGAGTTCCTATGAATTCTTTCGTTGTGATTCGTTTTCTTGGTTTTCCATTCAAAAGTCATAATTTCTTATATCTTTTCATAGGATTAACTCATTGCTTTGATGTTGGTTCGTTTTCTGGGTGTTTCCCTGGAAAAAACAACATTTCCCACATGAAGATATGCCTCTTCGTTGCCCAACGTTGTTTAGAAGCTGCTTGCACCAGCCAAAGCATGCAGTGAACTTGAATGTGCTCATGCAGCAAGCTTCCATGTACATATACATGCATACATATGTATGTAAGTATGCATGTGTATGTGTGTATATATATAGATATAGATCAGCGTATGTGATTGAATGAACCTATTAACTATATAGTACCCTTAATGCCATTTTGTAGTGCATATGCCATGTTGTGTATTTCACGTTATGTCTGTATTGTCATCATGATACGCTAAAGGAGATCTCATCAACGGGGGTCTCCTTGCGCTGTTCGTGGTCGCGGCAGCAGCACCAAGTGTTAGTATTATTTTAGGTTTGATTATTAGTGCTCGTAGTGCGATTAGTATGCTTAGAATTACGAGTGTTGTATTAGCACTGGTATTGCTCATATTAGTAGTATATCAGCATGCTTGGTATTACCCATAGTATTGTTGTTCTCCCTTCTTTTTCTTCTTTCCTTCTTTCCGTCTGCCCTGGTTTGTTCCTTTTCCGTCCTTCCCTTCTTCATTCCTTCCTTCCTTGCTTCCAATGGAAGGGCCAAGCAAATAAAAGTGCCAAAAATAATTGGGTCCCCCAAAATCAATGGTCGTATGCCATAGCATACTGGTTGCGTTTGCAACCCCACACAACCCGCCTCGGGAACCCTGCGCGCGGGAGGATGGGTGGGATCAAAGCTTTTCACCTGGACCTCTGTAAACCCTAATGGTTTCGACGCCAGCTTCAATGTGCCAAGTCTATGCGAGTGTACAGCCCCTTACCCAAACATCCTTCGTGCACAAAGCATGATTCTCATTTCTTCTCCACTCGACCCAAGCACGATTGTTAACGGAGAGAGCTGGCTCTGTCCAACTCCACTCGGATCACATGGTCCTGCGGACCCTCCCACTCTTCCGGATTTTCTGATCCAAATATTTCACGGGGCGACGGTGCATTCAGCCCTCTGCTTTCTCGTTAGGCTCCCTTGAGTCCAGCAAGCTGGACCCTGAATCATCTGAATTTGCCTGCGGCATTACCCGATGTTGCTACGGATGCGGCTCACGGTGCGCAACCCGGAGTTGCACTGGCACTGCGAAAAGCAACTCTACCTTCGTGTACTCGAGCTGCAAAGGTCTTCGGTATTGGGCTGATGTGTGCTCTAGCTGTACACCTTACATGGCACACTACTCAACCACGTAGGGCATGAACGTTGATCGCAACAAAGCCATGGCCAATAATGCATAGGTCGACCGAGTGGGTTTGCAAGAGTTTCTGGGGAACTATTGGAACGCCTATGAAGAATCAAAGGTGATGAAGGTCATACCTCCCGTGCCGGGTGTCCTTGTCCAGGTACAAGGCTTGCAGGGGAACAGAGAAATGCAGGAGCATTGCCAAGAATTGCTTAGCCGGCGGCTGCTCTGGACAAGAGAGGTTCCAGGACCTTGTCTGGGCAGTCGCATCAGCTTCGCAGCGAGCTCTCTCTAAGTCCATGACGGCATCAATCTCATCAGCCAGTGCCTGCTGTATGGAGCGGAGCCCATGGAGACCCTTTGCTGTGATGGCTTGCCTCGATGAGGAGCTGGCCCCCGGTCTGCACGCAGCCGACAACCCTCTCCAGCCTGCCGGCGACGGAGGCTTCCCCAGCTCTTCCGAGGTTCCAAAAAGGCGCGCTTTAAGGAGTGGACCACTTGAACATGGAGAGCTGGATCACCGAGAGCTCCTGTGAAAATACTCTACTTTCTTGATGCCGCACGTCGCCCCCTGTCACCGTCCCCCGCCCAATTCCCCCCCACACCTCGCCCACACGCTGCTTGATCCATCGTGCTCCCTGCTGCTGAGGATCCACCAGCCTAGGCGACGAGGGTTGAAGGGAAGTCGCGAAGCCGCCGCTTTGGGCTTCGGTTTGGGCCCTGGGTCTCCGGCAGCGGCCAGCGCGAGCAGCAGGTCACCACCTCTTCAGCCGCACGCTCAGAGGAGGCAGGCTCAGAGGAATCCCCCTCCCGCCGCTTTTTTGTATGAGCGAAACGCGAGGCGGCGGGGGAGGCACCGAGGCGTTCTCCACCGACACGCGATCTGCTGGCAGCCCCTGCGACCCGCCCCGACCCGAGCGGCCAGCAAGTGAGCCGAGTGAGTGATGTTTGACCGCGAGTTTCCCTGCGCCTCGTTCATCCAGCCTGCCACGTCGGCATCCGTGGCCAGCACAGCCAGCGGGTCGATGTTCTGGGTCATGGGGATCTCCCGTTCTGGGCGCGGGGCTGCACAATGGCTGCAAGCTGCACTTCACCGCGACGGAAGAAGACTTATGGCCGTGTTGCTTGCAAGGCGCGCTTCAGGTCCTGGCTCCAAGCCTGCTGCCAGAGGTCCTCAGACGTGTGGGCGCCCCCCGCAAGCCGCCGCGGAAGCGCCGAGCCAAGCGCCGCACCTGCCGCAGCCTTGCCGAAAAGGGCGAGGCGTAGCCGACGAAGGCGCTGGCCAGCATGCAGTTGCCTCGACGAAACGCCCCCCTTTTTTGGCTAGTCTCTGTCTCTGCGGGCCGGTTAACGGGGGCCTATGAGCCGCAAGCCGAGATCTCGGAGATCCACTACAGTCGTGGCCCAACCTGACAGGCTTAGTGGGGCATCTTACGGTTTCTTGGCGGGGGCCCTCTGGGCCCTCTGCGCTCGTTCTCGTCGGCCAAACCGGAGACCAGCCGCTCCGCTGTGCTCAGCCGCTGCACGCAGCTCTCGGCCTAACCGGACGTCGCCCATCGAACCGCGCATCGCGAGTGACGCGCGCTCCGCCGTTCCGCCTGCCGTTCCATCCTCTCCCGTTCGGAGGTCGCGTCGCTGAGCTGCTTGTCGAGCTGGGCGCAACTGGCCTCACAAGGGCCGCAAGTAAGAAGGGGATTGCCCGAGGCTCAATTCTTAAGGCTTCGTTCTTTGCGAAGTCAGCGCCTCCACTGCCTCAACCCTCTTCTCGACCTGTGGCTAGAATTTTCGGGCTGGGCGGGGTTTTGGCCGCGTGTGTGTCCCGGTGCCTCCCGCAGCTGCAGCTTGGCAGCATCTGTGGTGGCCTGGGCCACTTTCACCTTCTCCATCAGAGGTGCCACCTGACGTGTGGCAGCACAGGCGCTAAACCAGCGGCGGGCGCCCTTGCCGGCCCGCAAGGGCAAGGCCTTCGTGTAGATCTTGTTGTAAGTCACGATGTTCACCACCTGAGAACATCTGGCTGCAATATGCTTGGCGAGTTAGCGCCACACTTGCCCAGCTCAGGCGTCTGCCCAGTTGGTGAGGTAGGCAGCCTCGGCGTTTCCGCTCCGCCAAAGCCGCAGCGCTCCTCAGCGCTGGGCTCGCGGCTGCGACGCTCTTGTTTTTCATCGACTCGAAGTTGAAGTAGTCAGCTCCGATCAAGGCATCGGTGTTTGCAAGGACCTGCCCAGTCTCAGAAGGAGTCGCCCTAAACCCTAAACGGCCTTAAACCCTTTCCCAAGATTGACACTTGCACACCTGCTCTGGGATGTTCTCGGCATTGAACACCTTCACATCATCAATGAACCTCGGGTGTCTCACCCTTGCTGCTGCCTAAGAAACAGAGCTGTTCTGGCTCATTTTCGCCAGGGCTCTGCTGTGGAGACTGCATCATTTTCTGGCAGCCTTTCCAATCCAACTTTCGCTTTTCCTGCGAGCGAAACAAAGCCCTCAGATGCACAGCCCACGGCCCGCGATAACTTGGCAAGGCTTCGCAAAAGCTTACACAGGCTTCTCGCACAACTGCCCCGAGAAAATGTAGAGCTAATGGCTGGCATCCCGCGTACAATCGCGGAGCTCTCGCATGTGGCTCGCGGACGGCCGTGTCTGAGACTGCAGTCTACCCCAGCAGGCGGACAGCCGTCAGTCCATGGATTGTGGCACGCGACCCAATCGCGGCCGCGGCTGACTTGACAGAGGATTGACAAAGGACACGGCGACACGCGCACTTCTACCTACCCGAATGGCGATTGATTCCGACATTCCGACCAACTTCGCTTCTCAAGCACGGAGGACGGAGGTGGCATGTGGACAGAAATTGGCACAGCTTTCAAAAGAGACACTCTAAGTTCTCAGATGTTCTCAGTCTGTGTGGTCCAAAGAATGGCCTCGCCGGCCGCATCGCAGAGGCTCAAAACAGGCTCTTGGCCGTGCCCCGTGCTGCCCCCCACCAACTGGGGAACTGCAGAAACCGAACGACGCACGAAGCCCAGCTCCGCTGCTCCGCTTCTGTCCCTGCAAAAAGGAGGCGAGGCGCGCAGCCTGACGCCTGACGTACGCATCTTACCAGGCTTGAGGAGAGTGCCTGCGGCTGAATGGGTGGTTCTTCTGCCTTCCTTCAGGGACGTGTCAAGTCCGTCAATAGCCCCCACCGTCTGGGGGGCTTCGTGTGAAAGTTCCCCTCTCTCAGATCCAGAAGTCTTCTGTCACTAGATGCTGATTTAGTCCCACAGTCAGAACCTATCCATATTTAAGGTGTTCTGCACTTTATATATGCTGCTTTTCTTTCATCATATAGTTGGTCTCCTGACACATACTGACCTCTACTTCTTGTGCTCGTTTTTGGTATATGTTAACCACCCCAAACCCAAATCAGAATCTGGCTCTGCGTCCGCGCTCATTGTAAGAAGTTCTTGAGTCCTTCTCAAGCACGAAAGGCAAAGCACAGCTCTATTGTTTCTGCATAGTTGGTCTTATGTTTCGTTCATGAGAAAATCCTCTTCCACCACAGAAACAACAGAAAGCTCCTGAGTCCCCTATCAGTGGCTGGAACTCAACGAGATCTTGCAACCTGCCAATATCACATAAGCAGATCTTGATGTTTCGCAAAAGTGGTCTCCCTCCACCATATTCCAGACACGTTCGATCATAGGTGAGGTGTGTCGAGCCTATGCTTGTAACACGAGGGGACGGCTGCTCGTTTCTTCTCTTGGTGTGGAATCTGACAACTCCTTTTCAACCAGAGTAACAAGTCAAATTTTCGCGTGCTTGGAGCAAAGACCAGGCACAGATCGCCCATGGCAGCGCACATTCATGCTGTCTATGCTTCCTGGGAATTAGGACAACTATGCAAATGTGACACTTTGGTCAAAACAAACAAATTAACAGACTCCGTTGTGCCATGCTACCAGCAAAAAATCAAGCGGGCTGCTAAATCGTTCAACAAGACAGGAAATGGATCCAACACAGGAAAACCGTCTACATCTCTTAAGGCTTTGGAAAGCTGCAAAAGCAAAATCATTCTCCTACATGCTGAGCACAGCCTATCTCGATGAAGGTAACATTAGTACCTGAAGAATTTGATTATTTATGAATTTATGCATGTAATAAACATAACAAGCGCCCAGCGCATTGTATCAGTTGACAACGTAAAAAGGAAGCCTTCCCATTTCTATATAACAAAACGAAGCTGCTCTGTCTCTCAGTACTCAGAAGACAGAAAGGAGACGAGCCTTTCCAACATGGGCAGAAATAAGAAAGCTCCTTCAGTTGATATTCAAGAATACGACAGCCTCTTTTGTGAGTATAAAATGTGAGAGCTCTCTTGTCTCTCGCAGGCAATGAGCCAGGTACTGTAGTTTAGTTATAGCAAGAACTGTTTCAATACAGACTTATAAGGCCTCGACCAGCTGGAAAAATCAACCACATCTATACAACACTAGCGGCAACAACAACGCCCCGACATGACATAAACGTGCAACGCGCACATGCCGATTGCATTGGTTTCTGCAGCATTTCATGGACTTCAAAGGCCGTAAACCTCGGTGGCGTCGGTAACTGCTGCGTTTGGATTTGCACGTTTTCGCAAGTGGCGAACGAGTCGGTATTTACATGGTGTTCTTTACTTTGTATTTTCGAAAGGACACAATGGCGTCGTCTGACAACTTAATCTGTGGCTTTATTTTGGAAAAAGTGCTGTAAATTACAGCACATCGCATTACACAGGAATCTATTCATGCTTTGTTTTCGCTGCTTCTACACACTTCTTGCAGGTTCTGTGCTCTCCATGTCATGTGTGAAAAGACACAAGCTATGGTATCGTCCGTAGTACAAGGACATTGTTCAATCTGTAGCCTTATCTTTCAACAACTGCTGTAAATTACATAGGAAGTGATGTTAGGTTGGTTTTCGCTGTTTATGTAGTAGCAATAGCAATAGTAAAGAGTCAAAACTTCTAGACCGTTAAAGATTACAAGGCCGGGACAACAGAGTTCAGCAGCACACACCTCTATAGTGGCTCCAACAAGAGGCAACTGCGCAAACTGGTCATGTAAGTGCACTGGACTTATGTGCATATAATAAGAGTGTATGTTGAAGTCCTTTAAAGACGAAATTTTCCCCCACCCCCCCACCCCCCTGCCCAGACCTACCCACCCCCCCGCACGTATCCCTTGTGCTTATGGGTATGTGTCTATATGTGTCTGTGAACGTCGATGCCGAAGAAATGCGAAGGCAAGGACACACGAAAGAGAAAGCGAATGAGGTCTTTCCAACGAAGTTCAATGACGGAACTATCCGCCCACCCCCCACCCCCCCTGCCCGGACCCAACGAACACCGTACATTACGATATGTTCCCGAAGGCAAGAAAATGCTGCAAATACCGGGGATTTCGGACGTCGCCAAAACCAAGACTTGCAGACACACGAAACACCGACGGCACCGATGCGAAAGGCACTTCGAGTGTAGGAAACGCTGTAAAAATCGATGCAAACGGCATGTCTGTCGGTTTTGCGCGTTTACGTTATGTCGGAGCCAACAACAACAGCAGCAGCAACAGCAAACAGCAAACAGCAAACGACAAACAACCACCAACCAACAACCAACAACCAACAACCATCAAACATCAACCATCAACCAACAACAACCGACGAAAACAACAACAACAACAACAACAACAACAACAACAACAACAACAACAACAACAACAACAACAACAACAACAACAACAACAACAACAACAACAACAACAACAACAACAACAACAACAACAACAACAACAACAACAACAACAACAACAACAACAACAACAACAACAACAACAACAACAACAACAACAACAACAACAACAACAACAACAACAACAACAACAACAACAACAACAACAACAACAACAGCAGCAACAACAACAACAGCAACAACCACAACAACAACAACCACAACCACAACCACAACGACAACGACAACAACAACAGCAGCAGCAGCAAGCACCAACCAACAACCAACGACCAACAACACACCACCAACGACCAACAACCACCACAAAAGCAACAGCAGCAGCAGCAGTAGCAGCAGCAGCAGCAACGACAACGACCACGACGACGAGGACGTCTACTGCTTCAAGCAATAATTGCTGCTCTTACTGCCATTCGTCGTTCAAACATTCCCACAATCCTGGCATCTATGAGGAGTGCCGGGCCATAGTTGCTGAGATGTTAGGAATTTGGGTGAAAATTCGAGCCTTGCGATGTTTTCGCATCTGAAGTCGTCACAACATGGCCACGCTCGAACTTCCCAAAAAATCCCAAAATCCTTGCATCTATGGGGTGCAGGGTTTTGGAATTTTGGGGAAATTCGAGCCTGGCGATGTGTTTGCAGTTCCGGCTTACAAAATTGAGAGCCTCGTGACACATGTATCATTGGATCTCTCTCTGTCTCTCTCTTCTCCCGTGCTTCTCTCTCTGCTGTTGCTCTCTTTCAGGCCGTGAGGGGACGTGAGACCGAAAGTAGAGCTCGCCTTGCGACGATCCCAGGCCTGTTTCAGCAAGAAGCCACAGGCGGCCACCACATCGACGCACTCGCGTGGAGGCTTGCCAAGAGCTTTCAGCTCTTGGATGGAGGTCTGCGAGCGAAGCAAACCGCGCACGTCTGCCCGCCCTTCCGCCATCTTCCGCCTTGTCGAGGCAGTCCACTGCCGCCTTGGCCTGGAAAGAAGCGAGGGAAAGACTGCGGAGAGCAGCCGCGGGGCGCCGTGGGGGGTGCCGAGGCGCGCCGCGCCTTCTCCATGGCCGGCAGAGCCTCCACGAGCTCCTGATCCGCCTGAGCTGCTAAGAGACTTATATAGAGCAGAGCTCTCAGAGAGGAGGTTCCGCTCGCGGCTCCCGGCGCCTGGTCCTTCATGCGCATGGCCTCGGCAGCCAGAGCCTCGCACTTGCCGTGCTCCAGTCCTGAGCTGCGACTCCTCATCCCAATTGTTGCGCCTCCGCTGAGCGCCTCTGCTCTGAGCCTCTGATGACTGAGGGCTGCTCGTGCTGCCTCCTTCTCCACCGCCGCCACTTGAGATGCTGCGGTCACCTGGACGCCACGCCAAGAGGCCCCCTATTATGGCGCCTCCCAAAACTCATGGCCTGCTTGATGAGCTCCTCCGTGGCCACCTTCTTCTCGTCGACCTGCAGAGGTCTACACCACGATCTAAACACGAAAAGTCCTGCTCAGGAGCACCCACCGCCGACCGCAGCATGCCCGGCCTGTCTGAGGGTCATCTCCAGATCCTGCTTCAGGTCCGCCACGCCGTCTTGAACCTGCCACCGAAACGCAACGAAAACCGCAATGGAATGGAACCGCAGAACAGAACTAACCCCCCCGCGTTCCGAGCTTAGATTCTCTAAGGGATCCCTTCCGCTCGAGCGTCTTCTTTCTTCTTCTCTCTCTTAAGAAAGCGCAAAGCGTCCAAGGCACGTCGCGCATGATGGCCAGGCCCCGCTCGAGTCTCGAGACGTTGAGCTCCACGCTGGCTTGCTTGGACGTCAACATCCGGACCTCCACACAAAACAGACAACCCACTGAGACCCACTGCAACTCCTCTCGTCTCTCTTCGTCTCTCTTTCTCCGAGGTACATAGAAGCCGATGAACTCCAGGAAGGCTTTGGGAGTCGTGGAGTTGAAGCGCCGCTCCTCTTCCAGGTATCGCCGGTTGGCCTCGCCAAGCAATGCCAAGCAATGTCAACAACGCAACTCAAATTTCTGGAGATCTCGTAGACGACTGCCATGCTCCAACATGTCACCATGTTCCCCATCTTCCCAATCAAGGGAGCAGTCTGCTCCAAGAAAGACAAACACACGCACTGGAAGGAGGTAAGCTCAGTTGTATGAGAACACGGAAACCAAGGCCCTTTCGATGTTTTTCGGAGGGTTTCAACGCTGGGCGCTGGTTGTATCCTATAGTATCCTATGCCGCTCGCGCTCAAGGAGCCTGGTAGATGGAGATGTGAACTTCAGCGGCGTGGTGGGAGATGGCTTGCAAGGTTTCCTGGAGCAGAGTGCAGGGGTGCGCAGAGGCTTTGGCACTTTGGCGCCTCGTTCTCGATGTTCCGCTGGCGGAGTTTCAGCAGGAAGCGGTCGGCCACGCCGACGAGCGCGTCGCGAGGCCAGGCATGGAAGACGTCCAGCACCATGCAGCTGATCAGGGCCTCAGCGGCCCGGCCCAAGTGGCCAAAACGCGGAGGCTGAGGCGAAGTCCCTCCCCCCTCCCCTGCTTCGCTCCGCTCGGCGCTGCCCAGGCGCTGGGAACTTGCGACCCCGGATCCGAAAGGTGGAGCCCACCGGGGAGTGGCAGAGCACCAAATGCAAGTTCGAGCCTGGGCCAGCGCTCAGAGGCGAGAGGAGAGGAAGGAAATTGTAATCTCAATCTCCCTTTCAATGGCTCCGCATTCGAAGGCCCAAACGAACTTTGTCCAGGAAGAACTGGAAGAGGGACCTTTGAACAGTGGGCGCCGCGCACTTCACAAGCCCCGCCCCGGTTGCACGCTTTGCTTTCAGGGCACTCCCGGTCATCCAGATAGCCTGCAAACTTTGCAGCATTCCGAACGGCAGAGAAGATGTTGTCGTATTCCTGGGGCACATCATGGACACTTCTGCCCTGTGCTCTGGGTTGCGGCTTCGGCTTCGCCGGGCCTCGCGAGCAAAAAGATCGGGGATGTTGCCACTCGAGAGCATATCCTGACAGGCTTGACTCCGTGAAGAGTCTGGGCAGAATGGCCGGTCACTTTAAGTGGGCGGCATTGATGAAAACCAAGAACCGCTCATCCGTAATCTGGCTGTCTGTCAACAGAAATGCCTCGCCAAGAATAGCTTGATGAAGCATCAACACTTTTTCGTAGCCTCAGCAGGTTTTTGCGATGCTTCGCCAAGGCCTGTGGAGTTGCTGGCTTCACCGCGGCCTTCTTGTAGAAGGCCTTTACAACAGACGGAGGAAGCACATGCCCCCCATGATTTTGAAGTGCCTGGAGGTCCGTCTTGAGCTCCGGCAAACCATATTGTTGGTTCACGAGGATGCTCAACACTTCCTGCAGTGGAGTCAGGTGCTCACCTTTCCCATTTCGGTCGACTTGCGGTCGGGCCTGGCCGTTGATGAAGCTGGCGAGGCGCGCCAGGGACTGCTTGCCGCTCCCTCCCACACCCACCAACAGCGCACTGCCGCAGGGGTTCGCGGTGATGCGGCAGATGCCTTCGACAAACAGCACATCTCCCCAATTTTTTGGTGTGATGGTGGCTTTGCTGATTGCAGCCCGGACGACGACAAACGTGAAGCACGGCATCGTCGAAGAGCACCAAGTTCATCGTCGCATGCTCCGTGTTGTAGGCTGCGAGCTTAGCCTGCAAAGAAACGTGCCTCTTGCGCTAAAACCTGGCCCGAGCAAACGCACCGAACTGTATTTTATGAGTTTCATGGATGCGTAGCTCACATTTAATTAAACCCGAACACTTCGGAAGGATTCGTCACACGTAAGCAGACGTCGTTCGCGCATGTCCCTTCGAGCTGCGCATGAACCTCAACAAATTTTTGTGCGAACTAAACTATCGTAAGCATCCTTGACTGCTATCCAAAATCTTCGAACCGTTTATTTTGGTCACCGGGTCGCAACCAAACAGCTTTCAAGAACGGCATTGTTCTGCGGCTTAAACATATATGTCTTCAGCCTGGCGGGCGGCTTAAACTTGTTTTCAGCCTTTCGGGCTTTATGCTTCACGACGCAACACCAATGTCTTGTCGAACACGTCATTAGGATCCGTTTTAGTGTTGTCGTGAGGAACATTGAAGAAAATTTTGGCAAGGCGGCGTGGCAGCTATCCCAACATGCATGGCTCGGGGAACATGTGATTAGCTACCGAGCAACAGCTTTTGTTGGCTTTTCTTGGCTTGGCTTATGTTGTTTCGCCTTTCCCACAAGGCCGCAGACACGAAAATGAGTTCGTTCTCCTTTTCAAACAAGCAACTGGAGGTGCATGTTGCTCTACATGAGCAAACCTCGAGTGCTGAAGCCGAAACGCAAAAGTCATTGCGGATCCGGTCGTTTTCCCGAGCGAGCCTTGGCCGAAACAAGGGCGCCCCGGCGGTAAGTCACGCAATGTCTGCGATACTCCGTCACTGCTTGTCCTAAAATTTCTACAGACTCGGCTGTACAACAGCGGTTTAAACAGACTTCCAAGTACATGGTGCCAACTCGGCACACTTTCAATGACTTTCCTCTGGTGTGGAAGCCTGTCGTGCAAAGAAACCACAAGAGGGCATATGGGTGCGTCAGCCCATCCCATTCAGTGGTTCAACAAAGGCCTCAACGTCTTGCTCCTCTGAAACTGCCTTGCTCTTCTTGATGACAAGCCCTGTTGATTGCTCTACGTTTGGAGGGGTAACGCACAGACACTCTACCAGCTTGGTGTTTCCGTGTTTCCATGACCTTTGTCACTCGATCTGCAACCATAACATTTGTATCAACCCATCGTACTTCGTCCGTAGGGTATTTGGGACGGTCATCCAAACAATAGGGGTCGCCGTGTTGTTCCGGTGGCTCTCCATAAAGACTCTCGCAAGGACGCGATTTCTATGCTGAGTCGCTTGTCCCCATGTCTGGCATCTTCGGGTTCGGAGCGTGTCGCTTATCGACTGGCAATCCGTAAATCACACTTGCATCACGAAGGCTGCGGAGCTAGCCTCCCGTTTTTTGCTATTTACCGAAAAGATCCGCAACTGCAGCTCTGAATGGATCACCTTCTTCGATTCTTCGATTCCAGTCTGAAGGGCTATAGGCTTCAGCATGCAAAGTAGACCTACAAAGTCCTGAAACTTTAGCAAAGCTGAAGAAGCGTATGTATGCTTTCTGATGACATGAAATTAGGCGTGCCAAGGCAAGTAAGCCTTGAATGTTCGTCATGTCAAGTCATGACTTCATGCACATTGGCGTGACTTGAGCCTGTACAAACGCAAGGGATGAGATTTTCCCAGTCCAAAACTCTGGATGCGTAGTCGAACCCTTTCAGCCGTCCAGGCATCGTCAGCGGCTTTGTTTGCTTCACGGAGACCAGTGACTGCACCTCCGTTGCTGGCGGATTGCATTCGACTCATCTGATCTGCAAGGCCTGGTCTATGCTGTCGCGAAACCCAGGAAAACCTTCCCGCTGCGCTCTTCCGCTGAGTCTGTGTGTCCCAATAAGAAGTTCCCCAGCCTTACGCGTGGGTGGAATGAAGATGCGCTTTACCTTCAATAAAGCTTCCTTGCATGTAACGATGAAAGAAAATCATCCGCTTGGCATATTTTTCCGGCAATACCAGAACTCTGTCCGCTCCATCTTCCCGCAGGAAAACTCACTGAGCCACAGCTCAATCATGGGTCGGTTCTGGCTCGGCCGCCCATAAAAGGTCGGCGGAATAGGGCGATGAGTCGTCCTTCCTTGTTGTGCAACACTTGTAGTCATGTAGTGTTTTGACAGTCGAGTTCTTTTTGAACTTGTTACGAGTCGAGTAGCACCACTAGTCTGTAAACGCTTTCGAACTTGCGTCATCCAGATACCCTAGCCAGAAAGGGTCTGTCAGATGGCTTCCCAGGGCATCCACATTTCGGTTGCCTATACGGACTAAGAGTCTGCACCGCGAATAACAGGGGCAGCGCAACCATCTCTGCAGGGTCCTCGGATCCGCCTTCAGGTTGGAAAGCCTGCTCTTGGACGTGCTTCTGTGCCAGAATCCAAACCCTCCTTGAAGCGAGCTCTTCAACTTCACGCTGCAGTTACGCAGTGCCATGCGGAAACACATAGTGTTTGTTGCAATGCGCGAGAAATTCTCTGAGCATCGGACTCATCGTAGCCTCTCTGATGCCCCAACGGAAGTTTTCGGGATGTTCCCGTACAGCATATCCGAAGTCCCTTTTCTGTGAAGTCCAAACCCGAACAAAAGGTCCGATCCTTCAGGAGGTGGCTCCAGTAGCTAAGCCGGCTGACCTTCACACTCTATTGTCGCCTGCCCAGCGGCCTGATCCCTGCACACCACGGTTCTTGCGGCCTCGTTAAGTTTGTTCCTCCTCCGCCGGGTCTTGGCTTGTAGCCGTGGGCATGCTTACCCATCGGTTTTCCTTTGCCCGTTTCTTTTGACCAGCAACGTGTCTCTGGCAAGCCTGAGCCATGAAGGCAAGTGTACGTATCTTTGTCCCCCACATCAATCTAAGAAATGCCTCTACATTCTCGGCAATCGCATTTTGTAGCGATCCAACCAGACATGCTGTGACATCGTCGTCAGCTTGAACCAGCTCTTCGTGCTCGGGATCCCAAACGGAATCATCCACTGTAAATCTCGAAGAGTCGAAGAGTTCACCTGGGCCTGCAGGGTAAGCTGAGCTCTGCTGGAACTGCCTTTCTTTCGTTTGCCTTTTGCCTAAACCAAGTCCTGAGCGGAACTACTATAAACGATGAAACCGGCATTTGTAAACTTGTGTTCTTCTTGAGATCGGGGTTGAACCTCAATCCAGACAGGAAGGAGTCTCACCGCGAGGGCGAGCCAAGCAACTAAAGTGAGCACGGGCCCGGATTCGGGCACCGGCTCCGCTACGAGTGTGAAAAGCGGTCGTTTTCCTTGACTCACAAACTAGGGGCCCCTTGCAGTCCTAAGATACCAGGCTTCGCACACGCTGTCAACTGAGCACTTTCACAATACAACAGACGTTATTATTCATTATGCATCATAGGTCTTTCAAACTTGGACGTGCTTGATGATGTATCAACAGGTGGCCACCACTGACAGATCAACCAAAGCCCTTTACGCACAAGCGACGACTCAACCAACATGATTCAAGACACAAAGGCGAAGATATGGTGGGCACAGGCGGCACAGGTCACAGAATGCGTATACACAGATGAAAAAAGCGTGCGTTGGAGTTTCCGAAGGCCTTACCGGGCCTCAAGTCCCGCATGTCCCGCTCCCCTCGGCCTCCACTGCTTGCCGGATCTGCTGTAGGTCCCGTGCCGGAAGGTACTGCTGCTCCCCGGATGCCTCTTTCACGAAAACGAAAGCCGGGCCCCGCTTTTTCAGCCCCGCTTTTTCGGCCTCGGAGACGAAGGAGGTGCAACAGAGCGGCTGCTGGAAGAGCTCTTCGCGGTTTGAGGCCGCTCCAACGCCAACGAAGCACTTCGACACAGCCTCAGCCGACGCGAGTCGCCGCGGGACGCGGGACGCGGGGAGCGGCGGGGGAGCGCAGCCCGCACTGCAACCACTGCAACCGCAACGTTGCGCCTTCTCGATCATGACCTGCAGCTCCTGCGCAAGCTCAGTGCTACTTGTACTCCTGCGCTTAGGTTTAGACTGACAAAGTCCTTGGCATCCGACTCCAAAACGAGGCGATCGGAGAAAACGCGATGGCACTCATGCAGCCAGACCTGTCCGGCAATTAAGGCAACGGCCAAAAAAAGCGGCCGGCCAGCCCTCAGCCCACCCTCAAGAATCTTGTCGGACCGCCCGTGTCGCGGAAGACCGAGCTGTTCGTGCTCAGCAACCCCTGGAAGAGGTTGGAGATGTCCTTCAAAGCGGCGCAAGCGGCCGGGTCGCCACAAAGAGCCGTCAGCGGCCTTCAGGTTGAACTGGTAGTGGAACTTCTCAGCGGAGGGCAGGAAGGAAGCCGAGTTCTGGATGGAGGCCAGGACCTCCCCGCAGTGCCAGCACAGCAGAACCTACGCTCACTGCCCGCCGGTCCAGGCCCATCGGGAAAGCCTCGGCGGTGGCGTTCACGATGGGCTCCGTGGTGCGCTGCGTCTGCTGCCCAAAGGCCTCCAGGTGTCGGCCCAAGACCTTCGTGTAGATTCCCGAGATCACCTGGATGCCGGGGGCGTAGGTGGTGGCCACAGTGAAGCGCCGCTGCAGTCGTCCGTTGATCATGAAGCTCCCTGCCTGTTTTACACGACTTTATGGCGGGGCTTGGCCTAATGCGCGTATGGATCTGGTCTGGGTCCTTGGGATTCATGCAAGCAGTGAACAGCAGGTCCACGATGGTCTTCTTCTCGTCCAGCCGCTCCCGGTCATAGACTTGCCCGTAGGACAGCACCTGCGCTGTTAGAGCGGCCCGCCGACGGTTTCGCGAAATCTCCTACACTTCGGCGCCCGCCGCAGACCGCAAGGCTTCTGCAGGCCGCAGCTCAAGCCAGGCCGACGGCCCACGGCGGACGGCGCCTGGGTGAGCAACATGATGGCGCTCTGCGTGTCGTAGTTGTCAACCTGCAGTTGACCCGTCTCCGCCGTCGCCCCAAGAGGAGAAGAGGAGAAGAGGAGAGGAGCCGCTGTTAGTCCGGCGGGGCCCCGCGCGTAGGGCATGTTCAGGTCGTCCACGAAGAGGATGCAACGACGGTGCCCCGGCGGGCCGAAGGTGTGCCCGGAGCGCCTCGGGACTCGGCCGGGACTCGGGGCTCGGCCGGGCGCTCAGAGCCGCCATTTTCCCGGCCCCTCCAGGCGGCAGGCTTCTCCAGGCAGCCGACGATGATGCCCTGGAGTGCCGCCGAGGTGGTGTAGCCTGCAATCTGCCGCAGGCAGACATCACGTAGCGACGTAGCATGCAGCGCAGGTGCCGCGCTCTCTTTGCAGCCAGGAAACTGTTCAGATTGATGGAGGCCGAGTTCATCTCGCTGTTCACTTTCACCTGGGGCTGTTTCCGCAGCAAGGAACTCAAGCGATGCGCGATGCTGTTGCAAGTCCAGCCTCCGCTAGGTAGTCCTGAGAGAGAGAGAGAGAGAGAGAGAGAGAGAGAGAGAGAGAGAGAGAGAGAGAGAGAAAGAGAGAGAGAGAGAGGTGTGTGTGTGTGTGTGTGTGTGTGTGAGTGTGAGTGGGTGAGTGTGTGTGAGTGTGGGTGAGTGTGTGAGTGTGAGTGAGTGTGAGTGAGTGTGAGTGAGTGTGTGTGAGTGTGAGTGTGTGTGAGTGTGTGTGAGTGTGAGTGTGTGTGTGTGTGTGAGTGTGTGTGTGTGTGTGTGTGAGTGTGTGTGTGTGTGAGAGTGTGTGTGAGAGTGTGTGTGTGTGAGAGTGTGTGTGTGAGAGTGTGTGTGTGTGTGTGTGAGTGTGTGTGTGTGTGAGTGTGTGTGTGTGTGTGTGTGTGCGTGTGTCTGACTGCAGGCCGCACAGCGCATGAAATACAGACGATGCAAAAACACATGCCTGCGCAAAAACACATGCGAATGACCGACACACGGCAGCCTTAAGAAATGCAACTCACCTTACGCTGACTTACCCTTACCGTGATTCTCGCTGACCGGTCCTACCATCTCTTCTCCCCGTGATTTTAGCTCCAGTCCTTGACTATGGTGGTCTTGCCCGTTCCTGCACGCCACATGATGCCACATCGACAAGTTGTGCGCTAGAAGTCTCCTGCGACACCCACCAGCAACATGGGCTTCTGCCGCTTGACGTGGAGGTCCAGGAGGTGCCTGGCGGAGCTTTGAAAGAAGGCCAACTTCGAGGGAAACGGAATGAGCCGCGGGCTTCATGCGCTCAAGCTCGACATTACTGATAATGATGTTCTGGTAAAGCACTTCAGTGACAGGCTCGTACTTCCTCAGATGGCAGAGCTCACGGCCATCTACCTTTCGCGTGTGTCCGAGTAGCTTCACGCTCGTCTCCCAGTGAACCCAATCCTCCCGGGCAGCGAAGCTTGGAGAGCCATGCAAAGGCGACATTCGCTCTCAGGCTCTCTCTCTCAGTGTCTCTTTGCTTTGCTCGGGGGTCGGAGCCTCCAGTGTCTCTCTCTGTATTCGCTCGTCCTTGGCCGTCACATCGAAGCGGAAGTCGAAGCACTCTCCGAACTCCGGCAGCTTGACCCCCCGCGCCATGGACCTGTTGTCTTTTTACGGCGGTGTCGCGGTAGGTCGACACACGGCACCACATCCGTGCCTGAGGGTGGCGTTGAATGCGCGGCGGTGGTTCACGATCTTGTCCTTGGGGCTCCAACAAAGCGCCTCGCCTTCAACTTAAGCCCAGAGCATTGTTACCGGGGGCCCCACGTCGGCAACCGCGCCACCCAGGGTCCACATCAGGGCGAAAGTGAAGAAACTCTCGTAGCACAGCTTCTGTTCCTGCAAAGCCCAATGCTCCGAACAATGTTTCGCAAATGGCCACAGAAGCTCCTCGGTCGGCATGGTCCGCAAAAGCTCCAACGTCGTGTTCTTGCCTCGCATTTCATCCGGGATCCGGTAACTGCTGTCTGCAACTCCTGTCTCCTCTCTCCTCCTCTCTCCTCTCTCCTCTCTCCTCTCTCCTCCTCTCTCCTCATCTCTCCTCCTCTCTTCTCTCTCCTCTTCTCTCCTCTCTCCTCTTCTCTCCTCTCTCCTCCTCTCTCCTCCTCTCTCGTCTTCTCTCCTCTTCTCTCCTCTTCTCTCCTCTTCTCTCCTCTTCTCTCCTCTTCTCTCCTCTTCTCTCCTGTCTCATGTCTCCTCTCTCTGGAACCTTCTCTCTTCTCTCTTCTCTTCTCTCTTCTCTCTTCTCTCTTCTCCCCTGTCTCCTCTCTCCTCTCTCCTCAGGCGTGAATTTGCATCTGCGGGCTAGCGTGACATGATGGCATCTCTCTCCCGGGCTCAAGGGACTTGTCAAATACGTCGGGTTCAGAGGAGTGAAGACCGAGAAATGGTAGAAAGAGCAGCTGAAGCCCTCTCTCTCCCGCCTTCTCCGTCCTTGCCCAAAGTGCCTCTCAATTCAGAGGCAGAGGAGCAATGCAGCAATACGCATGACGTGTGCGGTCGATGCCTCCAGCCCCAGCAGCTCCAGCCCCCATCATCAAAAGAGCATCCAGCAGGCAGGTGACCGTTTGCACCTCGTTCCCAAGCTCGCATCTCAACGCCGTCCCCTCTCAACGCCTGAGTGGGGCCCTCGCAAAGCCCATGTCCAGGATAGGGCACGTGAACTCGAAGTTTCTCCGAAGCTGCTCGATGTTCGCCTGGGACCCAGCTTTTTCGCAGCGTCAAGGTCCAAGGTTCCGGCTCAACGGCCCGGCGGCCGCCCCGTTGCCTCAAACTGGTGCGTGAAGAGCATGTAGAAGGTGCTCTGGGCCACCGGATCCATCTGCTCCTCATCGTCTCTCTCCCTCTGTCTCTCTGTCCCTCTCTCTCAGTTGTACGCACATTCAGCCCAGAGACTCGCCAACTCTCCACAAAAGGCTTCCAGCCCACATCGCTCCTTCAGAAGTCAGAACTTTCTGCAAGCTTGAAATCTCGATCCCGAAAGCCGAAAAATTGCCCCCTCACTTCTTTGCCAGCTTGCTCGTTGATGTACAGGACGCCGCCCCGAGACACGGTCGCCGGGCTCGCATGCTTCATGTCCTGGCGAGGCGGCTTTCGGGAGAGCGCAGCAGCACGGGAGAGCGCAGCAGCGGGCGTAGCGGCACCTGGATCTCCAGGAGCATCCGCATGGTCTGCGTGAAAGGGATCCGCTCGTTGCTCACCAAGGTCAGCACCTGCGCGCAGCACATGGCAGAGCCGTTCGGGGGGGCTGCGCCGCTGCGCCTTGTTGTCGTCCATGACGGTGTTCATGGACTCGATCCAGGTGGCATCGATGTCGCCGTCCAGCACTACCCACTTGTGCAGGTGGCTTGCCTTGTAGCCATTCATCTCCTCAGGGCGCAGGCGGCGCAGGCGGCCTGTAGGTGGCACAGGCCGACACGGGGCCTTGCTCATGTTCCGCATGATCACGGAGACCGCTCCGTCCTTCCATTCCCCCTGACGACAGCTCGGCTAGCGGCGGCGAGCTTCGAGCGTCTGGGGCTGCGGATGCCCAGCTGGCGCCTTCTCGATGGTTCCATAGAGTTCGTCGGCGGTGATGGCTTTGGGATTCACCTGCTCCCATTTGCAGTCCTGGCTTGGGCCCAAGAACGGGACCCACACCCACAGCAGATGCAGATGCAGCGGATGCAGCAAACGCACAGCCTGTCCTCACCGATGGCGATCAGTGCCATTTCCAAGGATCGCCAGATCTCCGTCTTCCCCGCACCCGTGGGCCCGATAATGAAGCAGCAATGACGAACCTGACGCCGCACCCAAGCATGCCCCAGCAGCATGATAAACACTCCCTCCTTCAGGATGTCCAGGAAATCCACCACCTTGTCCAAGAAACCTCCAGCAGTGGCACAACGCCACCGTGGCTCTTAAGCGGCTCTCAGTCTGCCTGGATCCGGCTGGAGCCCGCGGGCCTCCGGAGCCAAAACAACACCCAGGGCCCAGGGCGCAGGGCCGCACATCCAACAGTAGGGGCAATCCCGCCTTCACCGTGTCCTCGCAGACCTTCCTGAACTTTGGATCCAGAAAAGGCTTCGCCTTGACGCCTTGGCAATGGCCGCCCAATGCGGCACAGCCGAACTTGCTGTCGCCACGCCGCCCATGCCGCCCCGCCTGGGAACAAGTCCTGTATGAGACGCTGGAAGATGGGCATGTCCTGCAAGTACAAGCCCGCTGCTCTTTTGCCTCTACCCTGGCCGGACAAAACATCCCCCCCACACTTAACTCATCCTGCGTAGTGATCTTTGGCAGGTTGAAGTCACGCAGGGCCCTGCAAAGGACCACGTTCTCGTCGTTGTCTGGCTCCTTGCCCTTCAAAGACCCCGCCTGAGTTCTCTGCGGACTGCCTGCTGCCCCCGCCCCCCCCCCCCCCCTGTCGTGCGAGTTCAGCGAAGCCTTGCCTGACGAAGCAAGGATTTCACTGCTCGCAAGCCCCAGTCGTAGTGCATCTGCTTCGACAGCAGCTCCTCCATGCAGGCGACCCTGGTTCCACCGCGCTAGATCCGCCAGACTAGAGCTCCCTCTCCGAGACTCCTTCGAGAGGGAATAGAGCGTGACCTGCGACTCGCAGCGGCGAAACTTCCAGTCAGCCTATGTCTGAGAGCAGTGCGAACTTGTGCGCCAAAAGCCGCGCGATCGTGAAGCCCTCGGACATGAGCATGTTCTCGCCTACAGCCACGAATCACAACGGTGACAATTTCATGCTATGCAGAATTCGGAGGAGGCACAAATGAATTTCAGGTTCGGAACTATCATCGCCACTGACCGGAACAGCGCCTAGCAGCACGGAAAAGGCGGACGATGCAGGTTTGGCATCGAGGCACTGCAATGAAACCTTGAGGTTTTCAGGCAGCTCAGTGCGGCCAGCATAACCAGGATTCCTGAACGAGCGGAAAACATACATGCATCTGGAATCTGGCATCCACGTTGCATAAGTGTGTCGTGTTGGCGTCCTGACTACGCCATCCACATGGGTCAAACAAGGGCGAAACGAGGGCGAAACCAAGCCTAATTCAATATGCCAAAAGCACACCCGAGAAAGTGGCAAGCGGCAAGCCCCTGGCCATGCATGTTGCATTGACACATCGACGCAAGGAGGAAAATCGAACCAGGCTGCAATGCAGCGTTGGGTGGGTGCCGCTCCAACATGCATGAAGACGGACAGACTTACAGCACTGTGCAGCCGAGAGCGGCGTAAGACGAGCAAAACCCCATGGCCTGAGACAAGGCCTGCATTTATGGTGTATGATTATGCGATTATGCCGCATGTGATTCTGATTGTGTCCAATGTTCAATGCGACGCGCGAAACTGTCACCAGCGCGTTCGCTTTGATTGCGTTTGGCAACCTTCGAGTTCTGGCAGCAGTCGCAAGCTAAGTACACCAGTATACCGCCTTCTCCACGTTTCCCCGCCTCCCGGCGCACCCCTCGCGCACCGCTCGCAAGATTGGTCAACAAAGGCTTGAGGTCAGAAGAACGCGACGAAGCTGTCATGGTTCTTATTATGTCGACAGAAACAGAAGGGATGCACCAACCGAGGGCCGCGGGCTGCGCGGCTGCGCGCTGGGGCCCTGGGGAGCCCCACATGGTGATGAAGGCGCCGCAGGTCTTGATCAGGCGCAGCTCCTCGCTGAATGCCGAAGGCCACTCCCTCTCCCTCACTCCAAGAAGCGTCCTCATCCACGAAGAGGAAGGTCTTGCTGTTAGCACGGATAGCGTCCAAGACAGACTTGTACTGTGTAGAAACCACCGACAACACCTGACCAGAAGCAAGAGTGCAGAAGACTCGCGAGATGCAGCCCGCCATCACCACGAACGAGATCCGTGTTTGACTCCGACGAATCGACACATCGATGCGGTCCTCGATGGAGATCCGGTTGAACTCATCGAAGCAGCCCCAGGCGCCAACCTCTCTGACAAAAAGATCTTGAGATGAGACAACCAGTCCGTCTCTTGCTCTGGTCACCTGGGCAAGGCCCATGAAAATCTGCGCCGTGGTCTGGTAGGTCATCTGGTCACTGCAGTTGAACCTGAGGACACAGCAGCCACAGCATGCCGCAGATGCTGAGGCTTCGCAGCCAAGCTGCACGACAATGGGCAGGCCCAGGGCTCTTGAGAGATCCTTTGTGGTCTCCGTCTTGCCGGTTCCTGCAGGGCCTGCTGGAGCACCTGCCCACAACACAGCACAGCGAGGCCAGCGAGGGCCAGGAAACCGTGCGGCCGCCTCCGAGGCAGAGGTTCAGGGCCTTGGAAACGCGGCAGCGAAACCCTCACAAGGCCCTGTGGTGCCCACCTGCGTCAGAGTGATGTAACCTCGGTTACGAGCAGATTTCCAGCTCTCGTAGTCACACAGAATCTTTCGGTCTGGAGGCAACGGTCCGTGAGAGGGGTGATGACCAGCCTCCCGACGTTGCCCACATACTCCTTAGCTACACAGAAGACAACAGAAGACACGCGCAGCACGAGGCAGGGCCAGGCACCATCAGGCACCACTGCGGGCATGCGGCGTAGGAGTAGCAGGTGGCCCAGTCGCAGATCCGGATCAAGCAAGTCTTCTGCTGTGCCTTGAGACACCGATTTGGCAAAAAGCAGCGATGTGCTGAAGAGTTCCGTCCACGCGGCTGGAGTGAACGACACCAGGTTCAGCCCTGCAGACGAGACGTCATAAAATGGCTTTCAGAGCAAAGCCTTCTTGCAAATGCAGTTTTTCGTCAACTAAGCCCAAAGCACGGAGACTTCTAGGGTTAATAGGGGTCTAGGGTTTGCAGGGTTTAGTGTCTAGGAAGGCCTTGAAGGCCTAAATCTGACTCGTTGAAATACTCAGGAGGACACCTAACGTTTACAGTGAAAAGCTACAATCCCAGAGGCTTAAGTTTTGTCCAGACCACCTTCGCCACAAGTCCCAATGGGAGGAGACGAAGATGTAGGGTTTAGGGTTAGGGGTTTGTGTCCCGTGGCAGCTGCAGCAGCAGCAGGAGCACAAGAAGCAGTGTTTCTTGTTTTTGCCATGCGGGCTTCTTGCCGCCATGGGGGTCTGCTACTCCACGGCGGTGGGGGTGGGGCGGGTGGGTTGGGGTGGGGGTGGGGGGGGGCGCGTGTTGGTCTTCCGTGCGGACGTGTTTCGTCTTCCAGACGACACACTCTTCTGAAAATCGACACTTTTGCCAATACCACGAAACCCCACGCACACCGATGAATTCCTGCTTTTGCACTTCCGCATTCATCTGTGCTCGACATCCTTGCAAATGCAATCGATATACCTTCCGCAGCGGCGAAAGGCGGACATACCTTTCTTTTGGAAAAGCACTTAGGGTAGTGTAAACTACTACTTGTATGAACACCTGAGCCAGAAGGTGAGCCATATGTGAAGGGTCATGTCTGAGGCAAGCAAGAAGAACTGGAAGCACTGTAAGCTTCTTCTGAAAGATTCCTGCGAGAACTCTGTGAGCGGCACCTACTGAGCTACGGGTACTGAGTAACAAAAGGCTTGTGAGCGACACCTGCCAGAGTCCTGCAGTCCTGCAGCGCAACACGTTCTTTTGCCCCCGAAACAAAGAACTGAAGTGTGTTGATCAAAAATCTTGACATATGTCACATGTCCGTCACTGGCCCGCCCCCCGCCCCCCCCCCTCCCCACCGCTGCAAACCCAAAAAAACAGAATTCTGCAAAAACGCATAGGCGTGTACCTGCGCCGTCACCACGAACATGCGTGGCCTGGCCTGGAGGGCACATCTGCCAGTAGAAACGCAGTTGAGATCCCCACCTGTCAAGCCACACATGTCCGTCCAATTGTCGCGTCGTGTCGCGTCGCGTGGCCTGAAGTCATTTGCTTCGTTCACTTTCTGCAGCACAAATGATTCAATAACGTCTCTGGAATGGACGTCCTCGGCCGAAGATTTTGGGAGCACAACTTCGAGTCTACGGTCTTCTGAGCTTCCGACTATGGTAATGATGGTGATGACCTCTCACATGCTTGCAAAGAGGACAGACATGAGATGTCAAAGGGCGCTGGCAGTGGCCTGCCTTTGTGCGCAGTTCCTTGTCGGATTCTTTCTGCACGCGTCTAATAAGCTTGTCAATCCGATCATCGTTCACCTGGATACCATGATGATTGGCACCATCACCATCTACGGTTTTCGGATGTGGGAGTGGGAGAGGCCCGGTTCAAGCTTTGAAGGGATTGCAAGGGTCTACCGGTCTGCTGCGGACGTGTGGCCCGCTTGTAGTCCCGCATGGCCGTCTCGCTGCCTGCCTGCGAAGGACATGGCGGCCGAGAGACGCTCCCCGTAAATAACACCTGCACCACTGCCTCCATATCCTCAAAGGCACGTGCCGTCTCCTGTCCGCCACACTGCCGCCATCTTTCATGCTCTCTCTTACCCCAAGGCCGCACCTCCGTCCAAATGATCTGGGTGGCCAAGAGGCTCAGCTGGGCACAGTATTCGTCTAGCCTGAGGGAGTGCATGAAGTATGAAGCAAGCCGACTTCCTGTGCTGTGCACACACTGTGCCAAGCTGAGCTTAGAAGCCACGTCTCACGAGGCCTGGTGAAGTGCAGTGAGCTGAGCAAGTGCAGCGCGGTGAAACAAGGGCATTATGGGGAGGCCTGTCTCCCACCTCCCAGCTTTCTGCAGAGGTCCGAGCCTGCTGGGCACGATGCGACGAACGGTTCTACTCTGTGCTGTGCTCTGCGCTGTGCTCGTCTTGTGCCTGCTCCAAGATCTCTCGAAGAGCCAGACGGACGTGGGCCTCGAGGCCCGACAGGTACTGCTCCACGGGGCCCTGCGCGTGATGCGCTGACCCACTGCACTGCCACTGAATCGCGAATCGCGCGCGCTCCTCCAGCTGGAAGGGGCCAGTCTCGGACGGCCAGGCCACGAACTGTGCCAGCAAACGACTCGCACGACTCGCTCACCCTCCCTCTCTCTTCTCCGCTTCCCGCGCGCTTCCCCCAAGCTCTCCGCTCTCCTCGCCGTCTTTGGCCCGATGGCCGCAGGCGATGCGGCCGAACTGCGGGTCTTTCGAGAAGTCCAGGGTGCCTCACCGCTCACCATCGCTCACCGCCACGTGCGAAGCGGCCTTCCACTCTCTTCCTCCAAGCCCCGCCCAAGCCCAAACACCCTCCCTGAACCGGATTTTCTCGTGTCAAGGAACACGGGCAGAAGTTGGAAAGAGGAGGGGGCGAAGCAACAAGCACAGCGGCGGTGGGGGGATGGGGTGGGGACTGGCTTCCCGAAGATATCTTTTCCCCGCCACCCAAGCCCCAACTACCTTCCCCCTTACCTTCTCCACAATCCGCACTTTTGTCACTTCGCCCCTCATGATGTTGTTTTCGTCACTTCGCCCCTCAAAAACTGTCCAAAGGCATCATTTTTAGAGGAGCCCCGTACCCCCTCGGCGCCTGGTGGCAAAAACGGGGGACTCAGCGGTGAAAGGCAGGGGAAGGGGTCACTTCCAATACCTGTCACGGCTCCCCCCGGTTGGTCCGGTTGGTTGTAGATGCCGACATTCACCGAAAACTGCAGACACACAGAGATCGCGATCGCGCACGGGGCGCGATCTGGGCAGTCGCGGGATTGCAAGCTCACCGATCGGGTTCAAGCTTCGTCACACTGGGGTCTCGTGGCTCTTGGGGGGTCGAATGTAGATATTTGCTTTGCCAACTCGAGTCTGCTTTGGGACGAAGGGGCGGATCCCATCAAAGACGTCGCCCAAGTATTCGGCCACCTCAGAGAAGGTTTAGAGCCCAGAGTTTTGACAGGCAGCTCGCATTTCTCCTGCCTTCAAGGGCTTGTTGCCATTGGAGAGGATGTCCAGCAAGGCCCCGTTTGCGACGAAGTAGAACCGCGGAAAGTACTTCTTCTTCTGCTCGAGGTAATCGTTCCTAGGGGGAATCTCCACTCATGCGCTTGCATGCACCGCTCATGCGCCGCTGCGCCGCTGCTCTCTGCTCTCTTCTGCCGCCGGGCAGCAGGGAGCGCTCGCAGGCGTCCAGGGCGTCGCTGATGTCGGCCCTCAGCGGCGGAGCAGAGCGCAGCGGCGGAGCAGCGGCGCACTGCTGCGCGCTTACAGCGCTCTTCTGCTGCTGGGTTGACTGCTGGGTGCTCCTTCTCTGGGGCTCCCTGCAAGGTCTGCGCGCGGCCCTCGGCCATGCAGATCTCCACAATCAGAGACGACCTGGAAGCCTCCGCAGACGCCCAGACCAGACTCTGTTTGCGGCGGCTGAAAAAAGGGCCCAGCGGGCCCTGGATACGGGTTAACCCTATAAACGTCAGATCCTCGCCTCCATCATCAAATCCTGCGCAAACACTGACAGACTCATCACCTCAACACTCCCTACCCCCCTACCCCTACCCCGCTGTGACACCTCCAAGCCGGCGCTCCTTCCAGCTATTGTCCAAGAGCTCAAACCGCTTTGAGTCATCCGGGAGCTGCGACCGAATGTCGTCGCTTTGCATGAAGATGGGCCTCGTTCGAGGAAGGCTTCTCTCACGCTTGGCTTCTTCTTCCCCCCCGTGCTTTCCAAGAGGCTCCAGGCGGCACCAGTTCACTTGGAATTTCCGCCAGACCTGGACTCCCACAGGAGCAGTGTAGCACAGATGCCGTTCCTGGTCCTAGCCCGGGAGTCTACCCGCCTGCAGGACCGCATCGACCGTTTGAAGCTTCTCGCTCCACTCGTCCACTGTGGGCTTGCAGAACTCGATGAACCGGCCCTGAGCCAGAGGCTGCCAGGCACTGCCAGAAACTGAGACCAGCGGAGCCCTGCGTCCTGCGAGGCCATGGAGAGCATCTCTAAGGAGTCCGACTCCAAGCGCTCCAGCACCTGTCAGAACTCAGACCGCACGGTGACGAGTCTGGTGCTCATGCCATGCTTTCTGAACACCTCCGAGAGGTCTGCAAGCAAAGGACAATCCTCCAACAGAGGCTCCCAGGCAGATAAGGACTGTCATTGGCTTCCGCCCCCCGGCTGTGCTCCTCGCGGCCGTTGTCGAAATCCACGCTCATCTTGGACCAAGTTTTGCGGATGCCATCCAACTTCCCCTCCTCGGCACGAGGCGACTCGGACTCGAAAGTTTCGGCGATTCTGAGTCGCGGTGGCTTGGCTCCACGCGATTTTGGCTTCCTTGACACTTTGGTCCACAATGTCGTAAACATCAGACCTCTTGAACAAGAGGAGCCGACAAACCGACAAAGCCGACAAACCATTTGACTGAGGAAAGCAAACGAGTGGCGAGAAGTGGTGCAGCTCCAACTCCAAAAGGTGCCGGAAGCTGAACTCTGGCCCCTGCGAGGATTTGGGCACAGCTCCCGCCCCGTGGGCACACGTCAGAAGGCACCTTCTCGAAGGTCTTTTTGGTAACGGCCATCAGCAAGGCCCAGTGTCGGTCGCGCATGGTGTCCGAGTGAAGCTCCTCAGCGCTCGGGGTTTCAACGAGGGCAATCTGCTTTCGGCTCTCTCCAACATCGGACACATGGCTCAATGGACTTCTGTTTCTCAGCAGTACATGGCATCATTGGTGTTTTTGAAGTAGTTCACACAGTTGTGTAAAATTGTAATGTCAGTAATAACAGGTTATGCATAAGCGCTGACATCACGTTACATGTTTATACGTGTGCCTGCTTTTTTTTACCGTTTATCTCATGTTTGTAATGTCTATTCTTGGCTAACTGTCAGAACTCAATTAACCAACTACAGCAATCCGCCGAGGCCACAGGCCCAGGCGTCTTGGGGGTTCGCTCAAGTACCCTCCACCCAATCCTCCTTTCTGCACTTCCTCCTCCTCCAGCCGGCAAATGGACCCCGCCCTCTGCCCCCTTATCCCCCGCTCCAGTGGGAGGTTCTGGGTTCAGTATAGGCCTTCAGACCTAATGACTTGTGACTGGCCGTTGCACGGACAGCGTGCTGCTTCCATTGCTTCGCAGAAAAATCTATGGTGTCTTGAACCACGTGAGACTGTAAGTACCTACCATATCGCCTGAAGGCGTACAGGATTTGGGGTCTCAAAGAAACTCTACAGTAATTTTCTGTTACAAAAAGCATGGCCGGCCCACTTACACGTGTTTTCTGTTGTGCCCTAGTCATCAAATATGATGTGGGGCTCAGGAAAAACATTAAGCCTTACATTAGTCTACTTCGTAGAACAATAGAAAGCATGTGCAATACCCTGACACTCCTCTTCGCTGACACTGCCGCCAAGATAGTGTCACTTTGCCAAGGACGTTTTGGTAGGACAGAGCAACGACAAGCATTCGCTCGGGGACCTCTAGTGGCAGGCGTGGGGAAAAGACGATGGACGAAACCTTTTGGAGGTAGATTTCCATGGCGCGGCGGGATGTCCACCTTCTGCGTCTCCGCACCAGCTCGCTGTGTTCCAGCAGCGACAGTACAACCGTCGCCCCGCCAGGTCAGTCAGGGTAGCCGTTAGGCGGATATTGCCGGTGGACCGGGGCATTACCCGGACAGCCGCTCACCTGCGGTGTAGGAAACACCTTGAACGCCACGCGTCGTGAAGGTGACAGAAGACCCCTACATTCATGTTCCAGTCCATGTTGTGACAAGTTGTGACATGAAGAGCATGAACCGAAGCGCTGCCAGAACATGTTGTGACTTGAAGAGTGCAGACGCTAATTGGATGGTTGGTCTCTGGCTTTTCTTTGTCGGGTTGTCCAGTTGGAAAGCACATACCCAACACCGGTACCCTTTCCGGTGGCTTTCGCCTCGGCAGTTGCACCTGAGATTGGAGCAAAACTGAGCCTTTGATCCTATATTTTCCGCAACGTATGCATCGGCCACGGAACTCACCAGGGCGACCATCGGCTCTGGTCCAGGCTTTCAAAAGCAGAGTGCCTTCGTTGCCTCCTGGAAGTTGGCAAGGATCGCCTCGTCCACCGGATTCTTGCGGACCCTTGTCGTGGCCAACCTCGTCCTCATACTCCAAGCTATTGTGGAACGCCTTGGCCATCTTCTTCCGCTCCATATCCTTGTAGATCAACCTCTCCTCCCACATTTTCCGCTGTTCAACCATGACATCTGCCAACTTGTAACTGTTGCAATGTCTGATGGGAGTTGATCTTGTTTAGGTCGTCCGATTCCAAGTTAGCAACATGCTAACTTGCAAACGGAAAACCTCGTGCAATCGCCATCCCAAGTCGGGAGCTTCGCATTCCCCGTTGCTTCTGTAGTGTTGTCGGTACTCGTCGGGCTACACAAAGTCCTGACTCTTTCAGGCTGCGCTACCCTTGCAGAATCGGCACTGGAAGCTGTTTCTGCACTGGGGGTGGGAATGACCAGCACAGAAGACATGACAATGTCTGGAAAGATCAAGGCCGAACGAGAAAGCACCGCGAGAAGCTAGTGGTAAGGAGCTCGCACGAAAGATCGGTCAGCAATGGCTTTTGTCCCGCAATATGCTAAAGCTCACATCGGGCCTCGAGTCCGCCGCTGTGGAGTGAAAGCGCGCGTGTTGACATCTTCAACGGACACAGCAACTGCACTTGCACATTTCAACAAACGACTACCCCTCCGGGAAAGCCCGCTGTCTTTCCACGTGAAGTCCGCGACGAGATCGTCACTCATTTGGACCGCTTCGGCGATGTCTTGCAAGTCTGCTCCCTTTACCCAAGGTATCTGTCCGCGGTCTGGCCTCAACGCTTGTAGCAGTAGCACTTATCGACGAACTGGTCGAAGGCCCCGGTCTTGCGGATGACCCCGGCCTTCTCAATCTGCAGGATATGCTCTTATCTTTTCCGTTTTTTGAACTTCCCTGTGGTCGGGAAGCCAAGAGCTTCCGGGCGAATCGGGAGAGCTTCTTCTCAAGCGACTTCTTCTTTTCATCATCTCCCGACCCTTCGAGGTTGTGTGAAGAAGACCCTTTGCGCCTGTATGCCCGCATCAATGGGGATGTGTTTCCGTGTAGCGTGGGATTCCAACCCAGTCCACCCAATCTCATCCAAAAGGTGCGGGAATTTCCTGCAGAGGCCATGGCTCGGCAACCAGTGCGAAGCTCGCACTGGGCATCGCAATCTTTCTTACCGCCAACGCACAAATGATGTGAATGCATTTCGTGAAACCCTATGTTTGCGCACTGCTGTCTGCAACGCTCTCTGCTGCAAGCGGACCAAAGTGAAGCCTACTGAGGAAGCGGTCACAACGAAAGGGCACAGCATACCCAGCATTACTCAGCGGATTTTCCCACGACAGCTACTGTAACTGGCAGCACGCGCGTGCTTCCTTTTCTGGAGACTCAAGGCGCATCCGGTGCAAACGTCTCATCCATTCAAAATGCATGAGTCTGCTCAACCCCTAAGGATGCACATCATGACACACCATGCGAAACTGACCTGAGCTGAATGTTATTGGTTTCTCATTGCAAAATCGCTATAACTTGTCAGCACCTGGCACCAGTTGCAGCACACGACATCAAAGCACTCAGTGCCTTTGGGCCATATATTTTCAAGCACGAAGGTTGGCAACCCGTAGGACAGGGCTAGCTACAGGCTCCATACAGGGACCCCATTGTGCCCAGCTAGGCCGTTGGCCACATGATCCCTTCCATCAGATTCCCATGACTCGCCACCGTCGCATATCTCAGGCTGTCTTCCAGCCTGGTAGTGGCACTCCGTCTGGTTTAAGTTCCATTTGGCTTTTGTTCTAGCGTCGGCGTCACCGAGGATGCTGTGACGGACAGGCTTCTTTGCAGCTCCTTTGATCATACAGCTGCCAGCCGCTAGCCGCCGGAGTGAGCAATGTCGCTGCCCGCTGTTGCTCATTGTTGCTGAGGCGCACATGCACCGTGGTTCTCAAACTGAGCCCCGCACGTTGACCAGCGGCAGCGCTGCTGACATATTCTTAACCTTTGCAGTGGCATGCAGCAAAGGGCAGCAAAGCTTTTGCCTGAATTGCTACGTCTCCATTATCATCCAATAATTGTCTGCTTTCTTGCAAGATTTATTTACTCTTGCATACAGTCCGTCGAGCAGCGGTTGGAGTTTAAATCTACAGGAGCCACCCCTTGCTCCTTCAGTCGGCCCTCAAAGAAAACGAGACGAGCTCGGATATGCGCAGCTTCAGCGGAGGCTCCTTGAGCACTCTGCCCTGTGCTGCGCTGCGTGTGCTGCGCGTGCGCACCGCTAGACTTCTTTTACCCTTCTTCAAGCATCGAATGGCTTCTTCGACCTCAATGCTAATATATACCTGCTTTAAATGCTTTTTGCACCTAGGCTTCTATAGGGGCTTGAAAGGGCTTGAAGAGGACGCCTCTAGGACTATAGTTGCACCTCGTCCTGGATCCAAGCGTAGAGAGGCCAGGCTCGGAGCCCTTTCTGCGCACTTCGAACCTGCCAAGGGCAGGGCCCAGCAGAGGGCCCAGGCCCGGGCAGAGGCGCAGGGCAGCAGAGGCAGAGCTCCGGCGCCGGCGCCTGCTGCGCGAGCTCGCGCACGGTGACCAGCATCTGCCCCGTGTCGATCTTCTCCCAGGGCACGGAGTACCTCTCGCGACTTCGGCGACTCCCAAACAGGCAGGCTCCCCCCATGACTCATCCGCCGCACCAGGCCGAGAAGGTCTCGCGCACCAAGACGATCAAGTCCTTGCAACAGAAAGCGGGCTGGTGGGGCGGTGGTCCGGCCGCTCCCCACTCTTTTTTTTTGCGGTCTCTGAGCTGCTGGCCCAGAGGTTCTTCAAGAGGATCAGGTTGTTCAAGCAATCGTTCCTCGCAGAAAGCACACTGCGAAGAGTGCAAGCCTCCGCGGCCGCCGGGCCCCCGACAAGGGCCGGTAATCGGACATGGCCATGTCGAAGAGGAGCTCCAGATCCTCTCGGAACAAACGCTCCCCCGCCAAACCGCTGGCCGGCTTCTCTTAGCTTCCGACGTTGAACTGCTCGGCGCGAGCTTGGATCTCCATCGTCTTGCCATAGTACTCGTTGATGATGGCATAACCTCAACACCGAGACAGGAAGCTGAGCGTCGCTGCAAAGGCGTAGAAGGACACTGTAGGAGCTCCAAGGCACTCTTGTCATAAGAGCCAGTGACGGCATGCTCACCTCGTGCTCAGCACAAAGCCAACAAGAAGATGCCTTGATACTGAGCCGGCCACTTCCAAAAGGACAGCGCTCAAGAAACTCGAACCTGAGTCCAGGCAAAGTAAACGAATCCTTCTCAAGTCGTCTGCTCTGAAGTGAGAAACCCGGAACACGTGTCTCTGAGCCTGAAATGCGAGGAGTACCGAACTGAAACAGGAAGGGGAAGGGTGAGCTGCCTCACACTGGGCCTGGACATGAGCTTTGGCCCACACCGGAAGTTCCGCACGTCCTCCCGGAAGCCCTCGATCTTCACGCGGATCTTCTGCATCTCCTGGCAGCACGGAACCACGGCGACGCCACAGGATGCTCCGGCTCTGCATCTGCCTGGTTTTGCAAGGGCAAGATCTTCTCCTTCTCGTTGAATGCAGCCCGGTCGACCTGAGTCAGCCCAATTTAGCCCTTTTTTGCCACGCTCTGCTCTGCTAACTGCTTCTTTGTTGCACCTCGGCCCAGTGTGCTGGCGCTTGTTCCAGATTGTTCCATCGCTCCTCCGAGCCCAGTGTGCCAGCTGCCATGCTGCCGGCTGCAATGCGGCGCCACTCCCGACCCCTCCCTGCGGCGCTCCTCTGAGATGGGAGCACGAGCGTGCTTCTTCAACATCTGCACCTCGGAGCAGAAATTTGTTGGGGCCTGCCCTATCCAGAGAAGGCACTTGCCTGCTCGCGAAGGGGGTGGAATAACCTCTCACAAGATCGCAAAAAAGGGACCGGAAGGGTAATGCTCAGCCAGGCCTCTGCATGGCGCCACGTGCCAGCTTCACATCCCGGATTTTCGTCATCCTGAAGGGACAAGACAAGGGAGAGCGAAGGCGAGACGACGGTTGCATTGGTATGGCGAGGTGCGTCTGGTAGAGCAGTCGCTCGTCCTCCCAGCGAAAAGCGCCAGCGAGCGAAAAGCCGAGTCGCGCCCCGCCCGACCCGCCCGACCCCACCGGACGCCGCCTCAGGGTTCTCGGCAGCCGAGGGCGGCCCCAGGCCAGTCCTCGTCGCGGCTCCGGCTCCGCACGACTTTCCGTCTGACTTCGCGCCGCCCCTGGCCGCCCGGCCGCCCGGGCCTCACCGAGTCGATGAAGGCGCTGAGCGAGGCAATGCGGTCCTGTCTCGACTTTTGTTCGAGTCAAGACTGACGGAACTTCAGAGGAAAAGAGCTGGGACAGAACGTGGCCTCCACAAAACCACGTAAGAAGCCGGTGAACTTCTCTTCCCACTTCCGAGCGCAATTCACCAAGGTCACCTCAACTCTTGCAAGCTCGTCTGCGCTGCCAGAAGAGGGCCCAGGAAACGCCTTCACGGGCTGCGCGTCGATGCGGAGCCAATGGATATCAGTAGGGGTCTTCTTCATCGACAGCTCCTGATGCACACAAACACACACACACACACAACGCAAAGCCAAACAGGCACCCAGAGGCAGACAGGCAGCCAGCCAGACACATGCAGACAGGCAGACGGGCACACATTCAAAGCCGGCCCCCACATGCGCTCGCGCACACTCGCAGACACCACCCACGTGCGCGATGAAAGTGAGAGTGTTCGTTCTTTTGGGCTCAGTGCCTGCTTCAGGTGCTCGAAGCGTGTGACCTCCTTCTCAAAGCGCTCCAGGGATGGAATCGGCGGGCCCAGGTCTACCTGAGAGCGCTGCCATCAACCTGTCCCCTCTGAAGCCGACGCCGCTTCACCCTTCAAACTACCGCGACTCTCGTCGCAGGCTTCGGTCGACACTTCCACTGCACCGCATGCCGCATGCCTTGATGCGCTGCATGATCTCCCGGAAAGTCATGCCACCTTCGGAGAAGTCGACCAGCTCCTGGACCGATGTCGATGAAATGTTGGAACATGTGCCGATCCATCTTTGCACTATGACGTAGCAAGCGATGGCAAACAAACTGGAAACAGTAACGCTTGCGAAGGTCTCTCTCGCAGGAACTGATTCGCACTTAGCAGCAATGCTGCAATTTCAATTGAAGCTGAGGCTTTGTCACACTTGCTGCGACTGTAGGAATGTTTGTTCTGTTTGCGCCCGCCCCGTCGCCCCAACAGCAAAAAGCGCGAACTCCTTGCTCCCAGATTAGCACGGACGGCAAAGTTCTTGCTGAGATTTCGGTTCCACGACAATGGGTGACTAGTTCACGCCTTCGGCTGCTCTTGCAGGAACCGGTCGAAAGTCTTCTCGACCTGAGCTACGGTCTGTGAGGGTGCAGCATGTGTCTGCAGATCCATCTCGTGCTCTGAACAAGAGACACAATTCTCCAAGCAAGACTTATCTTGACCCCTCGCATCAAAGAGATCTCTGCAAAGGTACTAGAAATCAAAAGCACGTCCTCCCCAATGCGCCTCCCCGTCCACACACCCCCACATCAGCAGCTATCAGGCATACTGAATACTGGAGCAGCAAATAGATGGAGAGTCCGGTTCTGTGACAGCTGGTGCAGGTTCGTCTAGCCTTGTTGCCAGAGTTGTAACGAAGTCCAAGCCGATGCCTAAAGTCTTTCGTTTCAAGGGAGAACATCTGGGACAGGCCACCGATCACGATACAGATGAAGTGAGATGTGGTAGCTTCGAGTGCATAAGTTATTACTGAGCATAGATACAGATGATACAAATACAGTTTGCTGCGAGAAGTATCGTTGAAGCGCACCATGCAGATGAACGGTGAGGGCTGGTGCAAGGTTTGCAAGGACGATCGCTGGGATCCCTGCGCTGTCGGTCCAAAGGAAGGAGTGTGTCATGAAGTTCTCCCGGTACTCCAAGCACTTGGTCTCCGTGTTGTCAATCCTCGGTTCGGAGCCGCAGCCGAGCGGTGGCGCCCTTTCAGCCGGTTTGGGGCGCTTCGCAAACGGCGGCCGAGGCGCAGCTCGGAGACCATGGAGAGCAGGCACTGCATCTGGAAGTGCTCCTAGCGAACAGACTTCGAACCGATCGCACTGCGCAGACTCGGTCACTGTCTCGGTCTCGTCTCGTCCTTGATCTCGTTCAGATAGTCGCCCATATTGGAGTCCAGGCGGACCTCTCTACGAACCCAGCCGCCCAGACCCCGCGGCCAGCGCCCCCGCCCTGGGCATCCCTGGGCCCTGGCCATGACGGTGGCCATGGCGAAGAAGTCCTTGAGCCAGCCGTCGATGGTGCTCCGAAGTGTCGTGCGGCCGGGCAGATCCTCGTCCTCCACATCGCAAGAACACCGCTTAGCAGAAACACCTCCCCACGGCTGCTCCAAGCTTCAGGGGCTTTCATGGGCTTCCGTGCAACAGCCGCAGTCAGGTTACTGCCCAGCGTAGCAGCTTAGCATCAGCTGACAGCCTCGAAGGGTGGGTCGAACACGATCTCTTCACCCTGCAGTTCGATTTTCACATCCTCAGTGACTCAGCCACAAACGCAGTGCACTTGGCCCGTCCCTTGCGTGATAGACTGTTAGACTTTCGTCAGCCCAGGCTTAAGCCTCCGCGGCTCAAAACACGAATCGAAGGAAGTGAAGCAAGGTTTTGTGCTGTCACCTCCCATCATCTCCGTCGAGAACCGAAACACCCGAACGAAGCCTTCCATCGGTTCGGCCGCTTCTCTCTGTCCTCTCAGCTGAGAGGTCGGACGAAAAGGGGCAGCATCTCGTGCCGGGTGATGATCAAGGGATCCAAGATCTCGCAGAGGTACCTCTGACCAAGCCCGCGACCCCGCTCCACGATCTTGCGCGAAAGACTCGAGGCTGTAGGCTGCACTGAAGGGAGACGGCGATGGCGGAGACGAAGCCCTCGATGACGACGTTGTTCACGAAATCCACATAGGCCTGTGCAGAGCCATGCGATAGCGGAGGATGGCGGCACGTGCTGCCGTTTGCAGGCCTTCCAGGTCTGGGCAGACTTGGAGATTTTCAAGGATTCGCTCGAGTCCTTTACATAACCTCGGACGCAAGAGGAAGAGAAGGACCGGTCTGGTGCTGGGCTGGGGCAGGCGTTTCCCGGCATGCTCGGGCTTCAGCGGTGAATCTCCTTGCCACCGTCCTTGGAAAGCTGAAAGCGAGCACACAGGCCAGGCTCTGCCAGGCTCTGCCAGGCTCTGCCAGGCTCCGCCAGGCTCCGCCAGGCTCCAGGCTGTCATGTTCATCAGCCGCACTCCCACGCGGGCCTTGTGGTTCTGCTCGAATTCCTGGCCCAGCGAGGCTGACGCCTGTCTGTGAGTGCTTTTAGAATATTGGTCTCCTCAACGGACACCGGCTTCGCCCCACGCTTCCTCTCCAGCCTAGGTGTGGAGCAGAGTCTCAGAGTCTCATTAATCCTGTATACGTCTTTGTAAGCGTGTAAGCTGCCAGCATCGACTCCTTGCACCACTGGGACAGGATGCCCGAAATCTTGCGTAGATTGCCCTCATCAGAGATAGCCCATAGCCGCCATAGCCCCGCCCCCGCTGCTTGAACTTTCTTGCGACGAGGCCTTCATGATGTCGACGATGGCCGAGACGTCGCTCACCACTTTCATGGCCACGGCGATGAAGTCGGGCACCTGCCGAAGACAAAGAGCAACCGACAGAGCTGAGCTGAGAGAGGAGCTGCTGCTCCGCTCCGCTGTTGCGGCGCCTCGGCCTCCCGGGACCACTTCAGCTCCGTGAGGCCCGGGGCCTCGCGAGGCTGCGAGCTTTGCTGCGGGCCGTAGAAAACGCCCCCCTTCTAACTGAGCTTCGCCGCCAGGGCGTTGTCCATCTTCACGATCCGATCCTCCAGCAAGGGCTCCTGCAGAGGCTGAGCGCTGCTCAGCGCTGCTCCACAGTGCGCCGCTTCTCCTCACGCGCTCTGCGGCTGCGCGCGCGCTCGTGCCTCCACGGGCAACAGGTCCGTGAGCACCGAGTTGTACAGCTCCACGATGTGGTCGAGCCTCGGACTCTGCAGCAAAGACCTCCGCGGAAGATGCCACAAAATGCTGGGGCGCTAGCTGGCTTGTCCACCTGCGGTAGACGTCCACCATGCTGTAAATAGTCAAGGCCTCTTCCGGCACCTGCCCGGATTCTCACCGCGTGCCACGTCGGGCGCGCGCATTCCGCGTGCCTCCAGGCCGAAGATCAAGAAGAACCGGACCTCCCGTCCCGGAGTCTCGGAGTCCCCGGGCAGGCCCGGGCAGGCACAGGCAGGCGCACGGCCTCCCGCAACAAGCGGACCAGGGCAGGGTCGAAGTTCACCTTCAGGAGCCCGGTCCTGAGGGCCCACGGAGTGTTTAGCAGCCCTAGCCCTAGCAGGGCACATCCGGGCCTGTCGTGTCTGCGGAGCAGTCGGAGGTGGAGCCGCTTGGCGGCCTGCCCCAGGGCACCGAGGCCGCGTCGCCGCGTCGCCGCTACTCGCCGCGCCTCTGCCACCTCACCCTTCCAGTCGGAGTAGCGCCGCATCTCGAAGGAGTCCAAGGTCTCGAAGGCAGCACTCTTCGGAGCAAAAAGAAAGCCGCACCCCGCCCCAGCCGCCTGCAAGGTCCTGGCGTGCAAGGCCTCCAGCTCTTTGAAGCTCGAAGGAACCTTCCAACAGTTTTCCGAACTGCACTTCAGAAGCAGGTGAATATGTTTTGCATCGGAACCTCCAACGTACGCGTTTGACACAGGCTTCTGACTGTGCATCATCAAGAAGTCAAGAAGTAGTAGCCCCTGCGTGTATTCCAAAGCAAGATTCTGCAGACTTTCTGTAGCTTGTTGCCGCAGCATGCATATGTAATGGAAGTTAAGATGGCGTGTCGTTCGAAGTGCTTCGTGCGTCAATGTGAAGTTCCTGCTTCGAGAAATCAAAAATGCGAACGTCAGTAATTAGGATTTTGGACAAAGGAGTGACTGTCAAAGAGGTGTTGATGTCTCATTCTGAGCACTGCTGCCAACTTGCGCGTGTGTATATTCATTGTGGTCACAGCTAGACAATTCCTGTGTCGTGATCTAGGCACCCATGGGCATAGCGGGCAGATTGGCACACCGCAGGAAAGCGGTGTCACTCAGAGGTACGACTAACAAGTGCTGTTGTAGTATGCTCTCCCAAGACATGGACACCCCTCTGCCGGGTGGGAAGAAAAAGATGATGATGCTGATCTATAGATTAGGCCTGAAATATGGTTCCTGCTGTTGGCTTCTCTTGCTGCTTGACTGGATGTTGCACTGCTGCAGCGGGACCATCGCCGAACATCTTGGTCAAAATCGGTCACACCGCAAGAATCTCGAGCCCAACGCATGCAAAACAACTGCCCACAACCATGGTATTTGCGAAATGGTTTCAAACAAATGGGTGGTTGTCAAAATTAGGGTCCCTTTTTGGGTCCTTATTATAGTACGGCACCTATTATTTAGGGTACCCAAAAAAGGGACCCTAATTTTGACAACCACCCAGTGCAAGGAGAAAACCTGCGCACAACATCGTCTTCCATGTGAAAACCGCAAAAAACTCAAGGCTGTTGCTTTGTTGTTTCGCAACAATCGTACGGAAACGAACGACACAATCTTCGCGGCAGCAGACACGCCCGATACCTTGTTCCTGTAGTTGGTGTTGGTTGCTGCTTCTGTTGCTGCTGCTGCTGTTGCTGCGATGCTGCAGTAGCAAAAAGTCTGAGATAGTCTGAGCTGCTGCAACACTGGTGGCAACAAGGTCAGCGACATCAAGCCGACATGTTGAGGACTCGCAGTCACGTTTGTTTGCAAATGCCAGGCTGCAAACCCAAATACCCCAAACCCGTCACCCCAAACCCGAACCACAAAGCCCTAATCCCAAAAAACCCAACCCTAAACCCTCAACCCCATGAAACCCTAAACTCTGAGCCCCAAACCCTAAAGCCCTGATCCAAATCGCTAATGCCACAACTGCCCAAAAACTCTAAACCCTAAACTGTAGAATGTCAGGTGCCGACCTCAGCATCGTGCCATCTTACGCTCGGCTGCATTAGTATGCGTGCGTGCGTGTTGGCTTTCCGAGTTCGTGGTCAGAAAGTGGCCACAGACACACAGAAAGAAGAGACGCACAGATAACATTCATTTTTCCAGATGTGGGTCTGGAGACTGGCCCTCAGTGTATGTGCGAAAGCACACAGAAAGTAGCAGGAGAATGCAGTCCGCTTGAAGGCCATGCTTTTGGAAAGTATGGCTGGAATGAGCCCAATCACGCTAAAGATGTCGCTTGATCCATAAATGTGTGGCTCAAGTGCAAGACGTCTGAGATGTGAAGAAGACAAGTGAAACTGATTCTGTTTTGTGGCGCTGCTTCCTGCAAAAGGGTGTGAGTGTTGTTGGCCGTTGGGCGCCTCCTGCAGTCCGAGATCCAAGATTGGGGTTTGTTATTTTTACATGGTAGCGGAGCGCTGAAAGTGCTTCCTACTAAGTCCGCCAGCCCGTGGAATGGAGCCGTGTTCACCGGGCACGATGGAAAGGGGGATAGCAGTACGTAGGAGCACCGCGCAACTCAGGCAGTACAGTGCCAGTCATGGGACCTTTCATGCAACATGCGCCCCAAATGGGACCAAGTACTGCAGGCAACAGTGATCCGAACAGGGTTGGCCACGAACAGGCAAGAGCATCGGGAGTGCCGGTGACGCCAACAAGCAGTAGTTCATTAAGGAGTCAGCCGCAAGTCGGGCAGTGTCAACAGGGGTGGGCACCCACAGGTGGTGGTTGCCAGAATCAGCCGAGCACGCAAGATGTTGTGACGTTGTTGCAGCAGGTGATTCCTAGGTTGTCCCCTCAGCAAGCACAGGCGGTGCAATGGGCTTTGGGGGAGCAGTTGACTCATCAAAGTCGTGGAGTGCCGGATCGGTTTGGGGAATTGCCTCAGGCCCCCCTTCACCAAAGGTTTGTGCAGGACGCCTCGGGCACCTTGCCAAATGTTACGGGTTGCCACGGCCCGCAAGGGGTTGGTTGGCATGCAGATAAGGACGTGTTCACCAAGGCAGGAAGTGGCTTGGACCCCCACCTCAACCTGAGGTTGAAAAGTGGACGACGAGGGAAGCAGAAGTCACAGGATTTGCGGACTACTTGGTGCAGCTTCAGTCTGGCAAGTACGGGGAGTACGGTTTTCTGTTCTGAAATTGACATGGCGAGTAGATGGCCCGAGCCAGTTTGGCAGGTGAACCTTTCCGCGGATCAAAAGGTTCGGTCATCGCGGTTGTTGGCCATCTTGCGTGGGGCATTTCAGACGCATGGGCGGACCGAGTTGATGGTGCGTTCGTTCATGGAAGGTCTGTCGTTGGATGGGTCGGTGGATCCCGTGAGAGCGCGTGGCAACACACAGTGCGGGTTTGAACTGCTTAGGCAGCTTACTCAACAATACTCCCTGCGATCACGGGCTGAAGCCTTGAGCATGCGGTCGGAGTTGATCAATCGTATCTTTGCGTTGCGAGCCTCAGATACGTCAGTAGCCACACAGGTGGATGACGTCATTCGCAAGATTGATCTGGAACTAATTTGCGAAGTTGTTGGGTGCGCTTCCTGAGGCTTTTGACCGCAGTGGCCTTAGTATTGGGGATGGTGATGCCATGGTCATTCTCTTGCGGAGTTTGCCTGAAAATGCAAAACAGTATGTGTTGCATCACAGTGTTGGTGACACGTATATGGCATGCAGGAACGCGGCACTGAAGTTTGAAAGGCAACAGAGGTTGTTCTTGGATTTGAACCTTGGAGGCAAACCCCAGAAAGGGGTAGCTGCGGTAACTACAGGGTCGCCGGGCCTCCAAACCTTTGCAATGGATCGCTGGGATGATGAAGGATCCTGGGACAGTGCTTGGTATGATAGTCAAGAATGGGGCGATGTGAACGCCACTACTCGTGAAAAGTGCAATCGGTGTGGAAAGGCCCATGCAACCGATAACTGTACCACGAATCTTGAGAAAGTCAAGTGCTTTTCTTGTCATGAAACAGGGCACATCGGCGCGAACTGTCCACACAAAGGAAAAGGCAAAGGCAAGGAGAGCCAAGGCAAGGATGCCAAAGGAAAGGTGGGAAAAGGAAAGCCAGGAAAATCAGGGAGTAGTAATGAGAAGGGCAAAGGAAAAGGTAAGGCTGGAAAGCAGGGAAAGAAAGGAAAGATGAATGAGGTGTCCTACGAAGGCGATGACGGACAATGGTGGTCACAGGAGTGGGAGTACAATTGGCAAGAACCGTATCTGGATCAGCAGCCGGGGCAAAGTGCTTTGGTGGAGAGTGGGGGCACGCAAGCATCACAGAGTGCACCGTTGCAGATGTCCAGCTTGCTTCTCTGCGAGCTCATGTTCGAGGAAGTGCATGCTTTGCAGAAGTGCGGCATAGGAGAGCTTGTGCTGAAGTGTAGTGAAGAGGATGGGCTTGGTCCGCACGTGTGTGACGTAGGCGAGCTTGCTTCAGACTCATGTGTAGGCATAGATGAAGAGAGTGAGAGAGAGCTTGAGTGCACTGGTCAAAGTCTGTGTTTCCCAAAGCCTGTATGTGTTGCCATGACGAGTTTTTCGCTGTGTGGCTTGCTTACGGAAGTCGCATGTGATGACCATTCGTGGTGGTTGTTAGATTCTGGGGCATCGGTTACAGTGTTGTCTAGAGCGAGTGTGAGCGAATATCATGCCAAAGTTGTAGGCCCTGCACCTTCAGGGTTCAAAGCGGCGAACGGAAGCGCCGTACCCATGACGCATGTGGCCGAAGTATGTGTGGATGTTCGTTTAGGCGGAGACAAGAAGAAACCACAATGGTTCGCTGCGAAGCTCACAGTTCTTGTAGGGAACACTAGGCACAACATCCTGGGCACAACGGCGCTGTGCAATTGTGGATGGACGTTCTCGCAAAGCAGTGGCCGAGATAGTTTGAAACATGATGCTACTGGCATGTTTGCGCTGGATACGACAGCGTACGCAGGATGCCCTTGGATTCAGTTGCGTCCGAGAGTTGACCAGTCAGCTGAGCCTTTAGACTCTTAGACATGGGGGATTTGGCAGAGCCAGAAGCACAACTTGAAAAGATGGAAATCGATACTCTTTCACCTGTGAAGCGTGTGCAAGCTTTTTCTGAGGAGGATCTGGTTGCGCACAGGTTGCAAGGTCATGTACCGTTTCATCCAGCATGTGTTGACTGCCAGAAAGCAAGAGGAGTGCATCATCACAGAAAACGCACAGACAAGGGTCTTCACACAGAGCTTCAAGCTGATTTTCTGTTCATCTCAAACGAAGGACAGGTGTCATCCGAAAGGTCACCGGGTTCGGTGAAGTGCTTGGCCTTGAAAGAAGCTTTCTCTGCATGTGTAGGTTGTGTTGTGATCGATGGTGTCGAGCTTCCTTCTGCGCGTAGCTGTCTGATCAAGTGGCTTCACGAGTTTGGGTTGTCTAGCAGCACGGTGTCAATCACCATGGTCACCGACAGCGAGGCGGCCTTTACGCAGCTTCGTTTCTAGAACGAGCGACCACTTCCATTTTTCAGTCAAGAAAGCTGGACCACAGGTCCACGAGGCCGTAGGGCATGCAGAACGATGCGTGCGCACATTAAAGGAGGCCCTTCAGGTTCTCAGAAGCGACATGAACAGGTCTAACCTTGAT